TTAGAATTCCAGCTTTTTTCGCACTGTCAGAATGTCTTTCCAGCAGCGGCTGGTACGAAAAAGTGAAGTGATACGATCTCCCACTTCATCTATTTTCTCACACCAGACCTCGAAAGGTACAACCTGTAAAAGGCGGTAAATACCGTATTCAGCATGCATATTTTCCAGCACAAAAAAGAGCTCCAATCCTCTCTCACGGACCGAGGCCTTGAAAATCCACTGCCCTTCCGCATCCTCCAGCCCCTTCCATGAAGCACTGAATGCACGGCATTCTGGATTTCATCCAGCAATGGAAGAGCTTGCGGCCTGTTGCGTTTTACAGTCGGACGAGGTCTCTCACGATCATCTTTGTACACCCTGCGTGGAACTGCGAGGTTGAGCACTGCCCAGTCGTTGTAGGAGAGAACTGCTGAATGGGATAAATATGGCTTGAGAGGTTCGTCCTCAGCCACATCATGGATTAGACACAGCTCCTTAGTGTCATAGCTGAACCGGTACCCAAATCTACTGGTATAGCCGTAAGGTTCCAGCGGCCATATTTGCTCCAAGGACTCTTTACCGCCAAAAGGAGGAAGCTGCACTCTACACACGTAGGATGTAGATTTACGGGAAGCACCACCCCCTGCAGGCAGCTGATGGATCACTATGGATTTTTCACAGAGCAAGGTTTGTGATAGCGGCGATGGCGTGTCCACGTTCTCCTCTTTCACCTCCTTCTCCTCTTGGGTAGAGGTTGAAGCATCGGTTGTAGACACTTGCTTCACCATTTTCTTAGAGGTATTTCTTTGGCCTTTCACCATTCAGATACGATCTCAGTCTGTCTGCTGAAATGGATCCGAGCTTTTAAAAAGGCAAGCAGGGTTGGAGGGGAGGGGGGGATGAGGGGTATTACGTATGAAAGGGAGGGGCTGTGGGAACTGTGGGGTTAACACAAAACAGTTATCAAGCGTAACTAAAGTGGTTCAGATCAAAGCAGATTAACAATATACATCTTGACAAATGGAGACTTCATGCGTCATTACACAAGTCATCAATTCATTTCTTGACATATAGGGTCATTAAAGATCATATCACAAAAGGGGACTACAAACAATACACCTGTCACGTTTGATTTATGGTGGGTTGGGGGTGGGGGGGGCATAAAGGTCAAAGAACAATAGACCTGTCAAAAAGTTTGACAAACGGTGGTTCTTTATACTCTCTCTCATCCTCACTGATTTACAATACAAGTGTGTTTTAGTTAGATTTTGGTTTATAGCTATATGCGGTTGAACTCTGTAGTCAACATTACATAAAATAAATCTATTAATGCTAAAGATTAAATAAAAGATTTGCAAATTGCAGGTTAAACTTTGCAGATACATATCTATTGTTTCAGTGCTGTGAAATTGTTCAAGCACTTCTCTTGCCACACAAATCAGCTTTGATCCCATTTATTTCATCATTTTACTTAATAAATATGATTATTTTTTAATAAAAGCTTAAAAATGCCCCCCAAAAAAGACACAATTCGGGTGTTTTTTGTGCTATTTGCATTTTAAAACCTCTTTTTTTTCAGCTGATCAAAAACGTATTTCTTGATTTTTCAGAGAAACTCCATCTTGAAACTGTTCATCAACACTTAAGTCAGTGATAAAACAATGAGATGTCGGTTCTGAGAAGAGAATCAGGATGTGTCTCATATCTATCAACCTCAGTCATTCTGACTCGTGATCTGAGGAATTCCAGACAGCTTTAATCTGTTTAATTCACATAAATGTCAAAGAACAATAGACCTGTCAACAAGTTTGACAAAAGGTGGTTCTTTATACTCTCTCTCATCCTCACTGATTTACAATACAAGTGTGTTTTAGTTAGATTTCTGTTTATAGCTATATGCGGTTGTACTCTGTATTCAACATTACATAAAATAAATCTATTAATGCCAAAGATAAAATAAAAGATTTGCAAAATTCCTTCAAGTTGCAGGTTAAACTTTGCAGATACATATCTATTGTTTCAGTGCTGTGAAATTCTTCAAGCACTTCTCTTGCCACACAAATCAGCTTTGATCCCATTTATTTCATCATTTTACTTAATAAATATGATTATTTTTTAATAAAAGCTTAAAAATGCCCCCCAAAAAAGACACAATTCGGGTGTTTTTTGTGCTGTTTGCATTTTAAAACCTCTTTTTTTTCAGCTGATCAAAAACGTATTTCTTGATTTTTTAGAGAAACTCCATCTTGAAACTGTTCATCAACACTTATGTAAGTCAGTGATAAATCAATGAGATGTCAGTTCTGAGAAGAGAATCAGGATGTGTCTCATATCTATCAACCTCAGTCATTCTGACTCGTGATCTGAGGAATTCCAGACAGCTTTAATCTGTTTAATTCACATGAAGTTTGAACTTTAGCTAGTTAGTAAATTGAAATACATATTTAAACAAAATACAGATGCTTTTAGAGGGCTATTGACTTCTGTGAAATCAATGCAAGTTTTTCAGAAGTGGATCAGGAAGAAGAGTGCAGCGTGTCGGGAACTCTCCTCTACATGCAAAGTCACGGTGGATGTCTGTCGCCTCTCCTCAGTCCACAGCTTCCTTGTAATTTGTAAATGTGTAGCTAGATATCAGCACAAATGAGGCAAACAACTCTGTCCTGAACAAATACAGTTAAACATCCTGTGTGTTCTTGCTGTCGTGTTTCTAATTCCATGCTTTTGTTCTTTTTTAAAACACAGTACCTGTTCTGTGTTTTAAAAAAGAACTACAGCATGGAATTAGAAATACAGTTAAACAATAAGTCTTTGTTTACTACAGACCTAAATGCATACTTAAGATTCTTCTTTAGTATAAATGTATTTTTACAACTCTTTACTCTGTGCAGTGTTGCCGCCTGTTTTACCTGACCTTTCGTCCACAGTGGAGTAAACTGATTTCTTACGAAACCTTCAGGTTGACTAACAGAGTTTCAGTTTGTTTCTGCTTTTTTATGCACTTCCCTCAAAGAAACACATGGTTTAGACACAACTCTTCAGTGAATGTTGCAAAAACAGTACATTTCTACAGAAAGTTCACCTTTTTGACGAGAAATTGAGCCATCCATCCATTTTCATCTGCTTATCAGGTCAGATCACAGGGGCAGAAGCCTAAGCAGAGAGGCACCGACTTTCCTCTCCCCATCCACTTGGGCCAGCTCCTCCGGGAAAATCCCAAGACGTTCCCTAGCCAGCCGAGAGACAGAGTCCCTCCAGTGTGTCCTGGGTCTTCCTTTGGGTCTTCTACCAGTTGGACATGACCAGTAAACCTCAGGCGTCTATGAGGTCTCTTAACCAGATGCGTGAGCCACCTCAACTTGCTCCTCTCAATGTGGAGGAGCTGCAGATCTACTCCGAGCTCCTCCCAGATGACCGAGATTTTCACCCTATCTCTAAGGAAGAGCCCAGCAACTCTGCAGAGAAAACTCATTTCGGCCGCTTGTATCCGCAATCCCGTTCTTTCGATCACTACCCAAAGCTTGTGACCATAGGTGAGGGTAGGAACGTAGATGACCGGTAAATCCAGTGCTTTGCCTTCCGGCTCAGCTCTCTCTTCACCATGACAGACCAGTACAATGCCCGCATCACGGAAGATGCAGCATGCAGCATCCATTCCACCTATCGATCACAATCTTTCCCTCCTTCATGAAGACCCCAAGATACTTAAACTCTTTCACTTGGGGCAGGACCTCATCCCTGACCTGGAGAAGGCATTCTACCCTTTTCCGACTCGAGGCCATGGTCTCTGATTTAGAGGAGCCGATTCTCAACCCAGCTGCGTCACACTCGGCTGTGAACCGCTCCAGTGAGAATCAGAGATGACGTTCTGATGAAGTCAACATGACCACATTATCTGTAAAAAGCAGAGACTCAATCCTTAGGCCACCAAAACGGATCCCCCTCAACACCTTGGCTGCGCATAGAAATCCTGTCCATAAAAGTTATGAACAGAATCGGTGACAAAAGGCAGCCTTGGCGCAGTCCAACTCTCACCAGTAACGAGCCCATACAGGGACCTAACAGCCCGTATCAGAGGACCTGGTACCCCATACTCCCGGAGTGCCCGGGCCTCCTGAGGGATGTGGTCGAACGCCTTCTCCAAATCCACAAAACACATGTAGATTGGTTGGGCAAACTAGCACACCCTCCAGGACCCTCCTAAGGGTATAGAGCTGGTCCAGTGTTCCACGGCCAGGATGAAAACCACATTGCTCCTCCTGAATCTGAGGTTTGACAATCCGACGCACCCTCCTCTCCAGAACTCCTGAATAGACCTTACCAGGGAGGCTCAGGAGTGTGATCCCCCTGTAGTTGGAACACATCCTGTGGTCCCCCTTTTTAAATTGGCAGACTGGGATGGTGGTCCTCCTATCCAATTGAACTGAGATTGATGTCCCTGGACTTCGCTTCCTCACTGGAAGACATGCCATTGGGATTGAGGAGGTCTTCGAAGTAGTCCGCCCACTGATCCACAACATCCCAAGTAGAGGTCAGCAGCACACCGTCCCCACAACAAACAGTGTTGGTAATGCTCAAGAAGTTGAGCCTGTCATTAAATTGTTTTGTTTTTAGTTTTAAGGTTTATTCAAGTGAGATAAATATGATGGTCCTGTCAGCCACTGTTACGTGTGTTATTTATTATCCTGCATGCGCTCGGGGCAGGTCTGTGGCACCTCACACTCACTACTGGACACTCCTGGAGAAACCTTACATGCACAGGTGCTCACATGGTGCTCTCACAAGGATGGACTTGAGCATTTTCAACACATCACCTCATTCATCATCTATTTTTTCTTCATTCAAGTCTTAAAATGATCCAAGACAAATCAAGGATGCAGTCTGCTGTTTATCTCTGCAGGTGTCCCAAGAATTATCTGTTGACTTAGAAACAGTAACCAGTTAGACATGGGGCATTTCCTGCAGCTCACTGAGAAGGAAGAAGGAAGTCGACTTTACTGAAACCTGCTCACACCCAGAGGGCGAGGTCTCCACTCGATCCTCTGAATAAAAGGAGGAGGATTATGTCAGATGCAGCTTCACTACCTCCAGTTCTCAGTGCATCTCAGCAGAAGTCACAGGTATCCTATAGTTTTATTCTGCACAGAGATTGATAAGATTTCTGGATGTGGTTTGTCTTTGCTAACTTTAGTTCACTTATGTTTCAGAGATGCTTTTCTCTGCTCTTCTTGTCCTGAGCATCAGCCTGGTGCCTACTCACTCTAAACCCTCTGGTAGGTCCATTTTTCTTTACATCTCATTTGTCTCGTTTCTGAGTTCATGTCTTTTTTCTATTTTTGTTTAGAAGGTCAAAAGCTCGGCAGTCCTTTTCTTTACAAATGCTTTGAAGAAGCAAAGAAGATAGTGGACGATGCATACAAATACTCCAGAGCAGAGTGAGTCTACTAAAGCAGTCTTGGTTATGTGCAGAGAAGTCCAGCCCTTTGCTGCAAAAACTGATTTATAAGAGTTTTTTAAGCCTCATTTTTAGACATTTTATCTTAGGTTTAATCTAGAAAGAAAATAAATTATTCTGTGGAAAAATAAATCAATAAAATAAGGTAAATGTTCTTAAATATGATCCAGGTATTTTGAGTAAAAGAATATGCAAAAGTTACTTGGCTAGAATTCTTAAAACAAGCAATAATAATAATAATAATAATAATAATAATAATAATAATAACAATAATAATGTTGATGTATTTTCCAGTTTTAAGAATTATAGCCAAGCAAATTTTGCAGATTTTTTTTTACTCAAAACCAGAAAATTTGAATCATATTCAAGAAAATGTGCCTTTCTAAGTAATGCTGTTATTCTAAAGAAGAGTTTAGTTTCTTCTTAGACTACAAATAAAATAAAATGTCTAAAAATAAGGCTTTCTTTACTTAGATTTTGCAGTGTTGTCCTTGAGAGTCCCTCCAGCATGTTTTAGTTTTCTGCTCTGACGCCTGATTCAAGGGTTGAATTACCTGTTCAGATGTGTTGCAGCAGAACCCACCTGGTTTTAATCAATGAGTGATTAACAGTCTTCTGCAGAGCTTGATGATCTGCTGAACAAGTTATTCAACCATTGGATCGAGGTGTGTTGGAGCAGGGAAACGACTCAAACATGCTGGAGGGGTACATGAGGAGATGCCTGGAGTAAAAAAAACTAATATTTTCTTGTTCTGGTTCTTCAGGAGTCTCAGACGGGTCCGTAAGGATGTAGTGCAACCCCATGATGCTCTCCGTCTGCTAAAGCAGCCTCGTGGTGACACCCGCTCAGCGGTTCGCTCTGCAGACTACATGGCCCAGACTCTCCGTCTGGTCCAGGAAAAGGTGCATACTGTGCACAAACGGTCCCTGAATGCAACAGGTCAGACAAACATTAGGTATATTCAGGTTGAAGCATGTTTATTCTGACTTCAAAGCTGCAAAAGATAAACAAATCCTTGTTTCTTTTAGATTTGCTGTGTCCAGAAGACCTGACAGAACTTGCGCGAATAACTGGGTGCAGTGCTCAGGTCAGAGCTCCAAACTGTGTCACCACACCTAACATCAACAAGTATCGCACGGCCACCAGTGTCTGCAACAACCTGTGAGCTCTATACTATACACTGTACAAATGCTTTTTTCTTTTCAGTAAAATGAAAGAATTTTAATTTGTTCCAAGGGTAATAGTTTATCTCTTATGTAAAACTGACAGCTTCCCTGACAGGAAGTGAAGTTACTTTCAAAATGAGCATTGAGACACACACCACAGGAGATCTGTTCCCTTCTGTGGGATTTCTCAAGCTCTGTTTCCAAACTTGAACATTTCAAATTTTGACCCTCAGAAAAAATCCTCGCCTCGGAGCCTCCAACACCCCCTTTACGCGTTGGTTGCCTCCTGAGTATGACGACGGCATCTCCCAACCGAAAGGATGGGACAGAAACCGAAAGATCAACAACTTTGTGCTCCCACTGGTACCAGTTTAACCATTTACCTGCTAACCAAACCATCCACCTCTTTATTTAGGATTGATATTAAACCGATTTCTAATTTTAGGTGAGACAGGTGTCCAACAACATCTTGAGCACAACAGATGCAGGGGTTGTCAGTGACAGGGAGTTTTCTCACATGGTGACGCTGTTCGGTCAGTGGAATGACCACGACCTCACCTTCACACCCTTCTCGCCCAGCATCCGGTCCTTCAGCAATGGGGTGAACTGTGACGACAGCTGCGAGCGCACTGAGCCGTGCATCCCCATCCCGGTTAGTTATAACCTTGGATTTTGTTTTCATGCATCCATGTTTCCACTCACCCTCCAACATTTTCTCCCACAAACAGATCCCTCCTGGGGACCCCCGCCTGCCCTCCCGCCCTGACACCTGCCTCCCTGCCTTCAGGTCTGCCCCTGCTTGTGGAACCGGATACTCTGCTTATAATTTTGGAGGGGAACCCAACAGGAGAGAGCAGATCAACGCGCTGACGGCCTTCCTGGATCTGGGGCAGGTGTACGGCTCTGAGGAGAAACTTGCACTGAGTCTTCGCAACCTGAGCAGCAACGAAGGTCTTCTGGCCGTTAACACGGAGTTCAGAGACAACGGCCGAGAGCTACTGCCCTTCAGTCCTATGCAGGCCAACATGTGTGCGACTCGCGGAAGAATCACTAATGACACCAACGCTAAGGAGGTGCCCTGCTTCCTTGCAGGTTAGTTCGGTTTCTACATTTTTGGGCACCTAATAGCACTAAACTGTAAATATCATAATGTACACTCTAAAACATAGCAGGTTGAGTTAAATTGGATTTGCATTTGTCTTTATCTCTAAACAGCTGTTAGTGATAATTTCACAACTGTTTCAGAACTTTAATCAGAGGTAAAGTCAAAAATGAATTTGGGAATAGTGTTAATGATTATAGGCTTTTATAGTTCATCATACTTTTCCGTTTTCATGAAGAGCAAGCAAGCTTGTGTTACAAAAAGCCCAACATAGGTTTTTTTTTTTTTATCAGTTTGATCAGCACTGAAATCAAACCTAAAACCGATTTACGCTTTTCAAAGTTCCAACAAACGATTGCAACTCAAACAAAAAGAGTCTGAAGAGCTAAAACTTTTGCAGGTGATGGCCGTGTGGTTGAGAACATCGCTCTGACCTCCCTTCACACTCTGTTCGTACGTGAGCACAACCGTTTGGCTCGTAGACTAAAAAGACTGAACCCTCACTGGGACAGCGAGACGCTCTACCAGGAGGCCCGAAAGATCATGGGCGCGTACACGCAGGTAGGCACGCCTGAGAATTCTCTAAAGCCGGTGTCATTTACTCATTTTTTGTGTTTTTTTGTCTCAGATCTTTGTGTTCAGAGACTACCTGCCTCACATCGTTGGTGACGAAGAGATGCGTAAGCGGCTTGGTCGTTACCCTGGCTACAGCCCCAACGTCAACCCCAGCATTGCCAACGTCTTTGCCACAGCAGCTTATCGCTTTGCCCACTTGGCAATCCAGCCCGTTTTATCCCGACTGGATGCAAACAACCGAGAGCACAGCCAGTTTCCGAGCGTTCCCCTGTTCAAGGCCTTCTTCACCCCCTGGAGAATCATCTTTGAGGGTAAGATGCACAAAGACAGCCGTAACAAGATGGAGTTATGGTTTTAATCGTTGCCCTGATTGTTTCTGTTCCTGCTCCAGGTGGGATCGACCCTCTGCTGCGTGGTCTGTTTGGCCGTCCAGCTAAAATGGCCACCCAGGATCACATGTTGGTGGATGCTCTGAGGGAGCGGCTGTTCCAGTTCGTGATGCACTTGGCTATGGACCTGGGCTCTCTCAACATGCAGAGGAGTCGCGATCACGGCCTGCCTGGTACTCTGCTCTTTCGTGTTTACCCTTTTCCTCCTCCGATGTTTTCCTCCCTTTTTTAACTCATGTTGTCAACGCCTCCAGGCTACAATGCGTGGCGTAAGTTCTGCGGTCTGTCTCAGCCTCGTAACCAGGCAGAGCTGGGCCAAGTGCTGAACAACAGTGGCCTGGCTCGTAAGCTGCTGGAGCTCTATGGGACACCTGAGAACATTGACGTGTGGATGGGAGGAGTGGCAGAACCGTTTGTCCGCGGTGGACGTGTAGGGCCTCTGTTCGCCTGCCTCATAGCAACTCAGTTCCAGAAAATCCGCCAGGGCGACAGGTTAGAACATCCACGTTTTAATCCTTGACTAAACCAAGAGGATTTAATGAACTTTTGTCATTCTTGTTGAAATTTTCAGGCTTTGGTATCAGAACCTGGGTGTCTTCAATGCTGGTCAGAGGGGGGCTTTGTCTTCTGTCACACTGTCCAGAATCATCTGCGACAACACCGATATCACGTCCGTGCCTCGAGACGTTTACAGAGTCATCTCCAACACAAACCCACTCGTGCCGTGCTCCAATATTCCTGCTTTGAACCTGTTTTCCTGGACTGATAGACCCGGCATCTTAGGTCAGGACACAAATCAGTTTATGACACAACTTGTTAGTTTTTACCATCTCTGTTGAGATCACATGGATGTAAAAGTCTCAATCACGTGCTGTTTGACCTCACAGGGTCTCCTGCTGATGCGTTGAATTTTGCAGTTTTCAAAGTTGTTTTTAAGAAAATCACATTAAATGAATGATGCAGGAATATTTAGACTTTGTGCCTCAGTTATGAGGTTTAGTTTAATGCTTTCAACCCTTTGATTTGCAGGAGGTGAAACTGAAGCACAAGCTGGATCAGAGCCCAATGGAAGTCCTGAGTAATGAGGTTGTCTATCCACGATTTTATTTAGAATAATTTAAAAAAAAAACATCAAATCTGTTCTGATCCAAAACGGTTATGTAGTTTTTATCATAACGTCTCCGCTTTTGAACCCTTTATTGGGTGAATGTGAGTCTTGATTTGCAGCTTAAACCAAAAACCCTTTAGAATTTAAAAACACACGTTTCAAAATTCTAAACAAGAACAAAAGCAAAGAAGTTTGAAAAATGAGACACAGTGCAGCTTAATGAGTGACTATTAATGAGTTAAATGTCTTTTCTTCTCAGATCCATTAGAGCAACCCGGCCCAGAGGGCTGACCGGACCACCAGTATTCTGCACCTCTTCTTGGCCCTTCTGGGCAAGTGTACAGCTCCTCCTCAAACTGAATATTTGTTTTTATCTGAATATATTCAGTGAATCAGACTATTCCATATCTACAAGTTGCTTCATTTACACCTCTGGTGTCCATAAAGCAGGAAGTGCAGGTTGGGTGTTAACAGGAATTGTTGCTGCAGGTTCAGGGTCTATTACCGTCAGGAGACTGACTAGATGTTCCATCTGACCTGACCTTCTCCAGGCTGAACTTAACCTCATAAAACACCAGTGACCTGCCTGACTCAGAAACACAGTTTAACTGGACCCTCGTCTTACTTTTATTGTGACCTGATCAGATCTTTTGTAGTTTTAGCTTAAATAAAATTGAATGCAGATCTGTTACAGCTGCTTTGTTAAACCATGAATCTAATTTTTGATGAGATGATCAGTATTAAGATTTTATGCACCGATAAAATGTCGAATGAAAATGTTCAAAGCTGTCTGCTAATCCTGTTTCACAGCTGCTTTGGTATCTTGTGCTGCAGTTTTCATTCAATAAAAAATTCTGAGTACACTAGTTGTTTTTTGACAGTACTGTAAAATGTTTTGTAAAAGCTTGGGGGGGGGGGGGGGGGGGGGGGCAGCAAAAACAAACCACCTAAAATAACTTACTAATATTTTGTGTAATTTTATAAAAAAAGGATTTGAGCTCAGTTGTTGCCAGGAACCAGTTACAGTCTTTAAGATGGAACGTTTCATGCTTGAGTAAAAAAAAATCAAACTATAAGCTTGTTCCATCCTGACAAGTTTATCCACATTTTTATTAAACCGTTTTATTAATTTGAAGCTGGCTATTTTATGTTGAAACTAAATGTTAAAGTGCAAAAACAAATTAAGAACCTCTTGTGTTCTAAAGCTTATTGCGCAGTGACGAAAAACTTCAATAAAATAGTTTGAATGATTTGATTTCAGGAATTTAATCTGTGCTGGTGTATAATGGAGTCTCCACTAGATGGTGCTGCTTTGCTAAATGGAACCAAGTGGAAAATCCAACTTAATTCAAGAATTCATTAAATTCCTCACTGTCCTTGTTTTTCCAATTTGCAAGATCATCTTCAAATTCAGCAGTCTTTATTATAATCTGCCCCTTTAATCTGTGGGAATTAAAATGTATTTCTACATAACCCAAAAACTACAAATACATGTTTTGCAGATTGTTTTTCAGATTCTGTTAAATTAAATCTTGAACACAGACTGCCCTATTTTTGGAATATATACTTTTATTTTTATGACATGAAGACACACCTGAGCAGTTTTCCAGCCCACCTGGACTGCATGTGTCTGTTGGAAAAGACCCAGATGTGTTCAGAAGTAAACCTGCAACCTTTGGTAAAGAGACAGGAAATCACTCAATGAACCGGACAAAATGCTTTAAATTCATTAAGCTGATGCATAGATTTAGTATCAAAGCATATCCCAGATCATCCCCGACAAACCTTCGGCCACAAATGCCCTCTTCTTTTTTAGTTTCCTCCTCTCATTTCCACCTGCATGTTACCCAAACATGGAAATAAAGACAATGTGTGCTGAAAGTTCAACAAAACTCATGAGTAAATTTACAGGTCGTATTATTTTCATAAAATCTTCCTTTTTGAGGATTTAAGGTCAAATTTGTTTAATCAATTTCATGCAAAAGAACATCGTCCACACAGTCCTGCAGAACTCTGAGTCCTGCCAGTGCGATGTCAGCTGCATGCAGAAATTCAGGGGAGTCATTAAGAAATGACATAAGCCAGACAGGAAGTGAGACATGTTTCAGTGAGGTGCATCCTGCATATTTCAAAATAAAACCTGAGTTGCATTGTTTTGAGGCCCAATCACAATCCTTGCACTGTGCCCTGCGGTCTTATGTGAAGTGCACTTGGGGAAGTGCACAGTAAGGCCACAAGTGTGCAACAAATTGCCAAATGGTGGCATCATATAAGCATTGTACCAATGTTTGGTTTGTAGTCATGCTGATTACGAACTTTTACAAGCTGATAAATCTCAAAATACATGACTGGCATGGTCGAAACAACCATCATTAATTTTTATTTCAATTGAAGTACAACATGTGTGTGATCCAGGGCATAGTAAGGCAAAGCGGATTAGAAAGTAGCTCTTTTTGCCCCGTAGACTGATAGAAAAGAGACTAAATTTTAAAAAGAAAATATGTGAGACTGTTGTTACTTTAGACTCTTAAAATTACAATAAAACCACAAGAAACATTAAAAAAAAAGGGGACAAAGAGACTATTGAGAACTGATTGTGCCGGAAGGATTGATGAGCGCACAGAGAAGCAGCAGGATGATTAGCTGGAAGTAAAACAGGTGTGATGCATGACTGAGGAGGAAATGATGAACAGGCCGTGTGAGGAGTAAACCAATAATCACCGAACAACCCAACAAAGAGAATCAAATCCATGAAAATAAACATCAGACCCCTAGACTCAATAAATCATACATTAGAAAACAGATACAAATATCACAAGCATTATTAAGAAGGTTGAAGCATTTGAGGTAAAAAAGCCCGTTTTGAACACGAATCTGTCTGACTACAGAATGAAAAATAAAAGTGTAATGCATGATTATATTGATTCCATCATGTTCAATTTTAGCTATATATATATAAACAGTTTGGTGCATCACAACCACCAACTGGCTTGGAGTACAAACCAGAATAGTGCTCATACCATCAGGGAAACGAAAGAGAGAGAGAGAATAAAACGCACCATCAAGGGTAGCACATTGATCAGATGGAGCAATTAATGACCAAAGGAGAAAAACTGTGAAAATCGACAGTTTGGACTTTAGAATCCAGAAGGAAAATAATATAAATAATCTCTAGAATTGATTTATTCTTTATGGTGAAGTGTTGCGTTTCATCATGAATGTGTGTCTCTGAGCTGCAGGACAGTAAAGTTCCCACAAGCTCAACTTTTAGCTTGACACCAGTGCTGCTTTTCGTGCATTTCAGCTGGGATCTCTGTCTGCAGCTGTGGGATGAGTGGAGATACTGGGAGTGAGGAAGAATAACGACTCACTCCGCTCCTCCTCCTCCTCCTCCTTAGTGGGAGAAAATACAGTGCAGAATGCCACGTAGACCACCAGACTGTCTGTGTGTGTGTGTGTGTGTGTGTGTGTGTGTGTGTGTGTGTGTGTGTGTGTGTGTGTGTGTGTTATGCAAGCTAATGCTATCCCAGGGTGATAAATCTACATTTTTTATGACAAAAAGGAGAAACTATTCAGGTTTTCTGTAACAGGGGCTGGAAGCAGTTGGATTATACAACAGGGTGGAGATGAAATGAGCTACTGAGAGGAAATGTTGAAGCGTAAATATGAACAAACTTACCAAAGTGATTAGGACACAGAATATTACAGTCTGTGAAGTTTGTGAAGCAGATTAGAGGAAGAAGGCTCTGCTGGTGTGTGTGTGTGTGTGGGTGTATGTGTGCGTGCGTGCGCGCGCTCGCTGCGTGCGTGTGTGTGTGTGGTCTTGATTTATGTGCCTTTTGCTTAAGTAATGCTAAAACTCTAAATGTAGAGAAAGGAGGCTCAAAAGATGTTTTTAACACCTTAGTCAAACGGGTCTGCTGACCCAGGGATTGGATTGAAAAACAATTTTTTTTTCCATCAGGAGGACAACCCCCCCCCCCCTCTCTCTCTCTCTCTCTCTCTCTCTCTCTCTCTCTCTCTCTCTCTCTTTCTCTCTCTTTCTGTCTCTCTCTTTGTCTCTCTCTCTCTTCCCTGACTTTTCTTTTGACAAACTTAGTTTGTTTTTCCTCCTTTTCTCTTCATCTCTAATGTGCATTTCTTCAAACTCTTTTTGCTCCTCCGAGTGCTCAAACGTCAGGAAGAATTCCAGCAACGTGGACAGAAGAAGCAGGCTAGCTAATTCCTTGCAGATGTGTCTCTGACCATGTGAAGGAGCACGGTATGCTAGCGCTGTCACTGCAGGCAGGGAGAGAAAGTATGCTCGACATGGAGTGGGAAAAAAAATCAATGAATCACCAGCAGAAATACATCCATGAACCAGAACAGCTGGTTCTGACTGTCTGGTGTTCCCTGGAAGAGAGAAGAGAGAAGGAGGCAATCAAGCAGCACATGCACTAAGTTTTCAGTCTCGGGAGGGGTTGGTGTTGGTATGCAGAATTAAACTATGTGAATCATCTGAAAAGTAAATTACAGCCCAAAAATGAAGGAATTTTTCCTAGTTTTCTACTGGAGGAAAAGCATCAAACTTCCAGACAAACACAGGAAACAGAAAAAGGGGGAGAGCCATGTATTGGCTGAGGTCCCTATTACTGAAAAGATGGCATTTATTAGTCCACAAATTTCCTGTTTTTGTCATTTTTTTATGCTTAGGATGAAGTTTTGGTTTCATATATGGACCAGTTAAAGTTCGGGCCTCTTTCTAGACGACATGTGTCTACATTTCTACACATTTATAGCTGGAGCGACTCCCCGGAGTCTGCAGAGAGGATGTGTTGCATTTGCAGGAGCGCCTCTGATTTATCATTGTTTGCTTAAGCTGAGAAGGAACGTCAGGGCGCAATTGGAACGGCGGTTAGACGATGTGTTCCCTCCGAGAACCATTCCACAGGGCTAAACACAGCATGATCTAATCACAAAAACAACACAACCCCATCAAGTATTTTTAGCTTGCTTCTTTTTTTCCTTTTGTTTCCAGCTGCTTTTTAAACGGCCTTCCCATTAATATTCACTCAGCACAGAACAGCCAATGGTTGATCTGGGTCAGATTTGATCAGTGTTTCTTTTGTTGTTTTTCTTGTAAAAATGAATAAAAGTGATGTGTTTTTGCACAGTTCTGTCCATGTTGAAGCAAAAGAAAAGTCAATATCAAAGAAAAATATGTTTATTTACATTAGAGTAACAAATTAAACATTTGTGTTGTTTTCGTCCAAATTTGTGAATGAAAACAATTCATTTGAAAGAAAATTGCAAATGTTCATGTTTTTCTCATTGATCAAATATGTTTTTGCCTCTCGTTTAGAAATTTTAAAACTTTGGAACACTGAATACATTTTTTTATTTATCATTTCTGATTATAATCGGTCACTCTGAGTTTTCATGCAGGCTGAACATGAAAATAGTCTCCTACACCTATCTCCTGCATTAGCTTCTGATAGAAAATAGACGGTGAAACTCTAGGATTAGAAAATCCTCACAGATCTACGTCACACTGTCACTCATGAACTCACCTATCTTGACCCATGACGAGGAAGGCTGTTATTGGTTTAGCGTAAAAAAAAACAGCAGAGTGTTGTGACTAGTAGAAGCTAACTGTTAGCATTAACAACTTCACTACAGCAGAATATCCTTCAATCTTGTGTGATTTGTGGAGATAATGTTGCAAAGCAAACAGAGTCAGTAGTCACATTACTGTTAGCCAATCAGAGGAGAGAGGTGAGGTCCCAATATGAGGAAGTAAGACTCCAAATCCTGCTGTCCGAAGGTCTCCTCTGATCTGGCGATCTTCTAGAGCCTGAAACAGGCACACAAGGTTTTTTTTACCCAGAGTAATGGGTTTGACACACGGGAGGAAACAAACAACCACGTTCAGCAAAACTCATCGCTATCGCTTTCATAACCTGACACATGGGAGGCGACACGCACCAGCGGTAAAACCCAGCGACACGCTTGGATCCAGGGAAAATAGTGAGTCTTCCGTTGCTTTGGTTGGCCGTCAGATTGGAGATTTTAGGTTATTGAAGCAGTTCAGAGTTGAAAAAGTGGTCGCTATGAAGTCTAACAGGGTTTTGCTAGAGTTCAGTGAAGTCTTACTTCTGACTTTAATATATTTAAAAAATACTTGAATGGGTTCATCCATAAAGTAAACTTACCTAATCTATTAATTCTGGCACCAACAACTTCCAACGCCGCTGCCTTTTCTATATTCTTTAGTAGAAATGTTTTAAAGCTCTGGGAAATCTGACACGGCAAGGATGAACTTTTCCTCTATGTTTGCCCAGAGATGTACTGAGAAGCATCCTGTCTGCTCATTGGTCAGTCAATGAAACCTCCACTGATTGGTCCTTGATATTTTCTCAACTTTCTGTGATTGCGTCACTGACTGGGGATTGCGCACAACCTAGGGGGCAGTTAAGGCCACTGGCTTTTTCCAGTAAAACAATTCAAATGATGACCAGCCGTCAGTGGAAGTAAATGAGTTAAAGTCTCTTTCCGGAGTATTTCTCTTATCCGATGGCACCATCTAGTGGCTGACGAGCATATCACACAAATAATCTCTCGATCCGTTTTTTTTAGATGGCGACTTCACATTTTTTGTTTATAAATGCTTCTGTAGCCGACAAACCGAGTAAAACATGTTGTTTTACAAGTATTTTATCATATCATGTTGTGTTATATTTTGTTCTTCACATTTGTTTTAAAGTGATTTATTAATTTTGAGCTGATAAACTGTTCATCAGCCCATTCTTTAATGATGATGAACTCTGTTTTTTTTTCAGAAACTCAGAGCTGATTGTAGTTTAGACTGAACCTTTTGATGAAAATGATAATCAAACCAGATAGTAGGAAATCAAGAGAAAATGACCAAAATCTTCCTCGCTCTGTAAAACCGTGCCATGTTTGGGGGTTTCACATCATGCCTGCTCATCAGAAACAAGTGAAAACTAAACCCTGAGTGTGGCTTTGAGCTGTAAAAGTGAAAGAGTAGAGATTACCCCTCCCACCATCATCAGTTGGGCGCCCCTGAGCAAATCCTCTAACACCCAGCTGCTCTGGTGTTCCTGCGCCGTGGCGAGTGGATCTGACTGAGGCAGCTTCAGGTATAAACATAGGAAAGTGTGAGTGTCAGAAGAGCATTCCTGAGGTAAACAAAAACGTTCAAAGTGGTGCTATTATTTCTTCACAGCCACCTAATTCCAACGAGATGGCGGTTTCTAGGATGACTTAAGACATTTGATAAACACTCAAGTTTAAAGTTTGCCTATAATAAAGAACTTTACATGTTATGTTAGAAAAAGACCATTTTTAATGGGACACTTTAAGGGTGTGACTTTTGCAGCTGAACTTTTACTTTTCTGCTCAGATTGAATCAAGTTGTGGTTTTAAATCCAATGAAACATTGGCTCCTTTTTCATGTTGTTTCAAATAAAAACAAAACACACTTGATGCAAAATCTTTTCTGTGACATTTTGCTGTGCGACCCTGTGAAGTCGTTCCTGCGGTTTGTTGTGTGGATGCTAGAAATTATACATCTGGAGTTACCAGCAGGGCTGTGGTTTGACTCGACTGCTGTAAATGACTTCAATTCATCAGTAAAATGTCTCTGGGTCAGCGGCCAGTGAGACAGAATAACTCAGATATCAGGTATCACCACGCAGACTCCTTTTTTCTTCTCTTTTTCTCTCTGAATTGACTCATACTGACCTTAAAGTAGAACTGACGAGTGTTTCACAGTTTCTGTGAGGCTCGGAGGCTCCAGTCAAGTGGAGGGTTGGCTTGTGGGAGATGATTTCCTGGAAAAGCTTAGAAACTACAGGGCCATATAGCGTTGTGTTCAGGTTTCAGAGCTGATGAGTGATGAAGTGTCCAAACCAATAGCAGCATGCAGCTAGCTGGCATATAGAACTTTGTCGTTCCTTTCTTTTTGTGTTGAGACTTTTTTCTTAAGTTATAACAGTTCTACAGTTGATATAAAACATGTTCTTGAAGTTCTTTGTACTAAATTCCTCTCACATAAAGGGATTTAAGCAGTTTTATTCTTGAGATGTTTGGTACCTTCCAGAATGAGCCATTTCAGGGCTCTGTCACTTTAAGAAAATAAGCTGGATCTGGCCACGCCCATCCATCCACCACACAAGCTGCCATAAGCTGAGAAGCTCAACATCTGGAAGTGGCTGGTGTAGAGTTGTTGCTCCTCCAGCTGCTCTCTATTGCAGCAAGAGTTCTATTGTAATTTCTCTTATTGTGATGTCACAAACAGGAACTTTTTGAAATACTTGTTTAAAATACTGGCAGAAAACAGAAGGATGGATTACTTTTCACGTTTGGAGTGTTTATAGAGGCAGTAGAGACCCACAAAGGGGATGCAAAAGTTGGGTCATGCATAATATGTCCCCTTTAAACACTTAAGAACTGAATCTTGAGCGGTTTGTGTGCTTAAATAAAAATCTATACTGTTTCTCAGATGGAGAAAGAAAAACTAGTTTTACAACTTGTTAGCCACCTCATTTTACACATTGTAAATGGTCGGACTGTGCATTTATTAAACCCACTTATAGGGAGCATACTACATCACTTCGGTTACACGAGCAGCACCAGACTCTTGTAACCAGATCACAACTCCTCCTCTCCTTCATGATCATCATCATCCTCAAGCTGCAGAAGAAAAAGCCACACGAGTTCACTGAAATTTAGCTTTTCACTTTCACTGCTCGGTGAACATCATTTAAATACAGACATGACGGATTTTGTTGTTTGATATTTTTGTTTTCCAGGTTCTTTAAATTGAATTCACGATGGAATTACGCGCGTTTTGCGCCTCGCGTTATTTACGCATCTGCTTATTTGTTTTCCTCTTGCAAGTTTCCCGATGTCAGAGGAACCCTGCAGCTCGGCAGAGACACGAGGAGGGAGCTGCTCTCCGGCAGACCCTGCAGTGGTCCCACAACGGCCAGGTTTTTAGCATTTTGAGCCATGGATCGGAGTACGAACCCCCGAAGCGGAGGAGCGCGCCTCAGCAGCAAGTGCAGCCGCGACCCGTTACTATCATCCGGGATGCGGAGGCGGTGAGACCCCAGGACGCCCGGAGTCAGCAGCAGCAGCAGCCTCCCCGCAGCAGCATCCCGCAGCCGCTCCAGAGGCTCGTGAGAGGGCGCGAGCACCGTCAGCATCTTCACCGGGAGCGTCCCGGAGCGCGCGCCGGGACGCAAGAGAACCCCAGGGTCAACGACGCACAGGGGAAGGTGAACGTCAGCCGACCGACTGAAGATGTAATGCTTGGTGATGACCCCTATGATCCCTACAAATCCATCGACTCTGATAATCCATATTACAACTATTATGACGCGTATGAGCAACCAAGGCCCAGATCGAGACCCGGATATGGCACTAGGTATCATCAGTACGGTAAGAGTACCAGTGTGCTCAGCTTCTTGGTGCACCTGATTTAGTTGGTGATAAATTTGAGAGAATATTTATTCTCTTATTCTGATGCAGGTCTCCCTGATCTGGTTCCTGATCCCTACTACATCCAGTCTTCTGTTTATGTCCAAAGAGTCCCAATGTACAGCTTGAGATGTGCAGCCGAGGAAAACTGTTTGTCAAGGTACTGATCCACAGGGAGAAGGGGTAGGAAGGGTTTACTGTCTGATTCACAGAGCTTCCGAGCCATAACAACCACTTTGTGGCTTTCTCCAGTGGAAGCAGTGAGATGAGGTGAAATTAAGTGAATCCTGCCACTGATGGAGAAAGGAGGGGGTGGATCTCTGTAAAAGTTTAATCATAGCCTGCCCTGGGAGAGAAAGCCCAAATGGTAAACACATTATTGAAGACTAACCCAAACAACCAAACGCCCATAAAGGATTTTTCCACCCAACACTTAACACAGACATGGCTTCATGTGGACCCTGGAAGTCTGCTCCACTCTGATGAGATGAAGCAGGAAAAACCTCTTTGATGATGTCATTGTGTCCACAAATTAAGGCCCCTCTCTCTCTCTCTCTCTCTCTCTCTCTCTCTCTCTCTCTCTCTCTCTCTCTCTCTCTCTCTCTCTCTCTCTCTCTCTCTCTCTCTCTCTCTCTCTCTCTCTCTCTCTCTCTCTCTCACTCACTCTCTCTCTCTCGCTCTCTCTCTCTCTCTCTCTCTCTCTCTCTCTCTCTCTCTCTCTTTCTGCAATCACACGTATTTTTTTTCTCTCTTTTATGTCTAGTTCAGCCTATAGGTCAAGGGACTACGACAACCGGATGCTGCTGAGGTTTCCTCAGAGAGTGAAGAACCAGGGCACGGCCGATTTCCTCCCCAACAGGCCACGTTACTCCTGGGAGTGGCACAGCTGCCACCAGTGAGTCTGTCCACCTCAGCATCATACGTCTCTGTGACTTGTTTTTCACCTCAATCTGCTGGATTTCTGGAATTCTTTGTCTTTGAGTCGTAACTGTTCATCGCGGCCGATGTCCACCTTGCCACACATGCACTATGTGCTTTTTCAGCCTAAATTTGCACCACAATTGTCCCACTCAATGAAAATATAATTACAGAATGTATTGCACATTCTTCAATCAACTTTGTATGATTGTTTTTTGAGAAATTAGTGCTGAAATTTAGCTTTAAATTAAAAATCTTTCCAAACAGTAAAATATGAAACACACCTGCACTTCTTCTCTTGTTGCTTGAGAATATTTCATCCCTTATATAATATAATTATTTAGTTCTTTAAGCAAGAAGTACAGAAAACTTATATATATATATATTACTCTTGTAATCCAGGATTAATTACTACACCAACATTTAGCCAATTTTAGATAACATTCCCAAATTCACATTCTGGCAAAAAAGAGGAACTAGGCAGTTTTTGCTTGCTTTTAGCACCCCCTAGTGTCCGTTCATAGAACCGAAACCAAAACGTTGTGCTGTGAGTTTGTCTTTTTACTACTTTAATCTAACAGCTGAAATGTCTCCCAGCCTTCCTTAGTGTCTACAGGAGTGATTTATGACTAAATAAAGAAATCAGCTGTGTTCATGATCTAAAACATGCAGAAAATAAGCTGGAACCAGACTGCAGCGCCAGGTATGTCAGCTCAAATTTTAAAAGTTCCAACAGAGCTGCCGCCAGTCTGAAGTTGCAAGTAGAATATTCTGGCCACAGGGGGCAATAGGGGCAGGGTGGCCTTTTATTTACCCTGTAAAGGGTCGTTTTGCACATATGGCTCAAGAAAATAATTTAAAACATAAAAAAGTTTACCTTGTTGTTGTTTTAAGGTGTATTTGTGAGGTTATATACAGGTTATAGTATCCCTTTAAAGCAGATGGAATAGTAGGATTACTACTTTCACGACAAACTGGTTATTTCCAGTCCTACATGTCAACAGCCTGAGTGGATCCACAGGTGGCAAGGGCCAGTTTTATTTATTTAAACTGTTAGTAGGCCCAAGCTGTAAAGGTGCTGTGAAAACCTCTTGTTTTTTTAAGCGTGTCCTATTATTTTCCTTCAAGGCAAACTTTTTTTAATTCACATATTTTATTATTTCTCATTTTAAACATATTTTAATAATTTTTTGAAATCTTTTTTAGACTTTCGTTTTTTGTTTTTGAGAAGCGTCTCATGATGTTTATCTTGAGAGGCGCTGTATAAAAGCTCATTTTCTTTCTTTATTTCTTTCTTTGCACATTTTTCATATTTTAAAATAATTTTCTTGAGCCAGTATGTGCTAAAATGACCCATTACAGGGTTAATGAAATGTCACTCAGACTACCACTCCCCGTGCCCAGAATATTGCACTTGCAACTTCAGAGTGCTGGTCCAGCCCCTGTTGGACTTAGTAAAGTGAAGCTGACATACCTGGCACTGCAGTCTGCTTCCAGGGTGTTTCCTCCATGTTTTAGATCATCAACACAGCTGATTTGTTTAATTTAGTAATGAATCAATCCTGTAGACACTAAGAAAGGCTGGGGGACATTTCAGCTGTTAGACTAAGGTGTTAAATAACAAACGCACAGCAAGGAGATAGGTTTCACTTTTGGTTCTACTAAACGGACCTTAAGGGGTGCTAAAAGCAAGCCAAAACTTTCATCTGCAAGTTCAGAAGAGACGTTGAGGTGGCATTGAGTTGTGGTTGAGGTAGGGCTGAGGTGGTGGTGCACAGTACCCATGGTCGCAGCCGAAGTGACGCTACCTGAGAGGGCTGAATGACATAGCTTGCAGCCTTAAAATTAATACGAAATGAGATAAAATTATTATTAGCTATATTAAAACTAGATGGTAAAGTTGTTGTTGTTATTGTTATTCTTATTCTTCTTATTCTTATTCTTGTTGTTATTATACATTGCATTTGGGATAAAATATACAGGCAAAACTATATCCTCTGAAAAAATAACACACACCTGATGATGAAGTTGTAAATTGTTTTGTTTGTTTTCATCCTAAAGAAAAAAGAAAATTCCCTTTAGCTTTTCAGTAAATGATACAACTGACCTCAGCTGACCTTTAACCTCAACTTCTTTTTTTACTAAAATCTCATGATGAGGTTACTAAATCCAAAATGAAAACTTGGTGTTTCTTTTCCTCCTCTGACTTATTTTGCAAACTGTGACTCTTCCTTTTGAAACTACCTCAGTCCAAAGTTATGTTATGAAGTGGGAGACCTTCTGAACTGCTCCCCAAATGGAAAACATTTGGCCTAAACCCAACAAACTGTATAGATCTTTTTTGTCAGTGTTTTGAAAGTCGTCTGCTGTTACAATCCAGACTGTTTTTCTTGGAGATTGCAGAGCTAAACCAGACGTTATTGCATTTCAGTTCCACATAACTGTGCACATTATGAGTAAAACAACCATTCTGATGTTCTTTCATCTCAGCATTGTTTGAAATAAACATCTGGATGTATTATTAGGTGTTTTGGTGAGAAACCTGATTTTCTTTACAGAATTGTGTCCTCTGCTGTTGACCCACAGGCACTACCACAGCATGGATGAGTTCAGCCACTACGAGCTGCTGGACGCCACCACTCACAGGGCGGTGGCAGAGGGCCACAAAGCCAGCTTTTGTCTGGAGGACACTTCCTGTGACTATGGATACTACAGGAGATACGCCTGCACGGCACACACCCAGGTCTCACACCTAAGCCTCACCTTAGCACTTTCTTTTCCACAATTGTTTGAATGGAGAGGAGGAAGTTTTCTCCTAAAGTTATTCAGATCTTTTTAACTTAGTGTTTGTGTGAATGTTTAGAAAAATCTATGTTTTATTTATTTATTTATTTATTTATTTATTTATTTATTTATTTATTTGTTTATTTATTTATTTATATATTTATTTATTTGCTGTAGTTTGCTATTTGGACAACCTCACTTTGGAAAAATAGACTTTAGTCCTGACCTGATTGATAAGCTAACGGTTAGCCCAAGCAGAGCCAAAGCCAAAGAGGATTTTAGTTGTTTTAAAACCACTCAAGACTCAAAAATGATTATAGTCCATCAAAAAATATATATTATAATAATAAATAAACCTTCCATTGCTGTCAGTTTCATATTACACACACGAACATCATGATGTTCCAATAGGAAGGGATCCAAGCTGCACCAAAAACTAGTGTGCAACCTCTGCTATTAGTGCTGACAACCATCTTTGTAAATGAGCATGCAATGCAATCTTAGAGGCGAGGTTTATAATTTAGTGTTGCGTGATCCACTCTGGTGTTTTTGAGTGAGAAGTTATACAGCAGCTTACAATTTTGTTGAGTACTTCATGTTGTTTCCCCTCTAATCTAAAACGTGCAGCGTGTGATTTGTTTTTGAAGAAGAACTTTAGAAAATTTAAAGTTGTGAAAATATGAGATGTAACAAATTACAAAAGTACAACAGTTACAAACACTCGTAAATGGTTCTGATTCTTTCAGGGCATCGTGTGAGGCTTTAGCTTAAATTTGCACATAAGAATTCTGCACAAGTGTGTTAATCCAGAAGGATTGTCTCTTGCTGATGTGTGCAGCACATTAAATTATCAGAACTAAAGAAAAGAGGGATTTATTTAGAGTTTACTGAACCCAGAAATGTTTGAGGGGGAGTTTACAGAAATGAAAGCTCGTCCCACAAGAGAACTGCTGCCTTTTAACCAACTGCTTTTACATTGTCAGCTGTTTATGATGGCGGTTTAAAGGTTTGGTTCACTGAAAAATTAGTTAATTATTATTATAATCCGTCACTCTGAGTTTTTCATGCAGGCTGAACATGAAAATAGTCTCCTACACCTATCTCCTGCTTTAACTTCTGATAGAAACTAGATGGTGAAACTCTAGGAGAGAAAAGCTTGACAGATCTACATCACACTGTCACTTAACATTCATGGACTCACCCAACTTGACGCATGATGGGGAAGACTGTTGTTGGCTTAGTGTCTGGGAATCAGCAGAGAACTTCTCTGCTAATTTCAGCATTAGTAACTCCACCACACGGCAGAAGCTCCTACAGGCTCATGTTATTTGTGGAGATAAAACATCCACGTTGCAAGTCAGTGGTAGAGCCATATACTGCAGTTATCCAGTCCAAAACGATGCCCAAATATCAGGAAGTAAGACTCCAAATCCTGCCGTCTGAAGTTCAGCTGTGATGTGGGCAACTTTTAGGTCAGAGAAATGGTGCACCAGTATATTCTTTCCCCCAAAAAACAAGTTACAAGGCATTAATTCCTACCAGAGACCACTGCAAATGTATTGATTAAACGAATAAACCACTCTAATAAACTCTGTTCTCATTTCTTCAAAAAATAACGTATCTCAGGCAATTTTAAATACATTTGAGATGAAACCAAGACAATGTTTTAAAAAGCCTTAGAATGTTTAGTCCTATCTTTTGTTGACTTTGTAAGATAACAAGCTCAAGTCAATGGTGGTGGATTCAAGTCCACACCTCTGGATGTGAGTTAAAATTAGCAGAGAGTTAATTACAGCTAATGTGACTGCTACGAGATTACATCTGAATATTGCATAAGATAAGCCATATGACTGACCTCAAATGACTTTACTTCTCACTTCTAAGCATTTGATCATCTCTGACAAGCAATCCTTCAAGGAAAACCTGGTCCTTTAACGGTGTCCTAGAATTCAGAACCGCATTTACCTTGTTGGATATAAGCAGCTTTCCCATGTAACTTAGTAACGTTTTGATGGCCACAGAGAATCAGTTCCTTCTTAGAAAAGTTGGTTTAACATGTAAATCCCGACCCACTTCAATGTATAGACCAATGTTGGTCACAGCAATGCAGACAACCCTAATCCTAGCTGCTGCCAACATCCATGTCCCATCACATGGACAAGAGGAAAACAACAAAGAAGAATGATGGAGCTCCACTTATGTTCCAGGATGTTTGGGGAACATCCAGATTATGATTGAATGTCAGACAGTGTATACCCATAATTTGAGGTCTGGTTCAAGAAAGTATAGCTGCACACTTCCTGGTCTGCACCTCTCTCTCGCACACACAGTGGCGGTTCTACATGGAATTACTCCCAGGGCGAGGCCTCCTTTGAGGCCTCGCCCTGGGAGTAATATATATATTATAATATATATATTATATTATAATATATAATAAATATTCTAAATAGCAAAAATATTTCACACATAACAAACTAAAGATAATCACTACAGCACTGCACTTGGGACAGAAAACACAAACTAAAATTAAAACCTAATCTTGATGCAAAGTCATCAATAATGTCATCATATGAAATCTGCTCCCCTACTGAGTGACTGATACTAATCAGAGCCAGGTTAGTGAGCCGCCCCTGAAACATAGGTGACCTCAGGTATGACTTGATCAAGTTTTGAAAAGCTACTCTCAGCTTGAGCCACAGTGACTGGCAGAGCAGTCCAAAAGTTGGGGTAGATCTCCAATAGATCTTTATCATGATCCATAATATTTTAGAATTGCCTCTGAAATTGTAATTTAAACTGACATAAAAAATGTAGACTACCAAAAATGCCAACTTTTACAGAACAAATCATGTAAAAAATAATCATTGCTGCCATCTGCAATAAATAAACAGGATAGTTAGTGGTGACTGGGGATTTTTCTTCTGCTTGTAGAGTTGTTTTATTTATTATTATGTGAACATGATCAACATGTGTTTGTTGTTGTTCAGGCAGGCCACAGGCTGCAGCGAGCATTTAACAAATCCTAGTTTGAATCAGTAAAAAATGATTCAAGGATCTTTTTGAACCATTTGAATATTCGTTTCAATATGTCAGCCCTATTAGCTCTGTTAGCAATTAGTTGACCAAATTTAACCGTTAATATCCCAGTTAACTGGTTAAAAAATTGAAAACATGCATCATGAGAGCGTACATACCTTTATCTTTCTCCTCTTTTTTTCTTTTTTTTCCCTGAATCGGGCACCTGGTGGTTTTAGCCTTTTTATGTTCATCTCTTCTGTTTGGCTCTTGACTCAGTAAGTTTCCTTTAGTCAGGACTAAACAATTTGACCTTGATGGGGGGGGTGACCACAAAATCGTTTTGTTTTTCCTTTTTGGTCATTTCACACAATTCAGAAAAACCTGAAAGAATGATAGGCCTGTGTTTATGATTTTATGAATGAAATGTGCGTTAAATGGAAGGACATCAAGATGTGATTGACTTTAGCCATGTTAATACAGTTGATTCAGCCCCTACCCGCTCATTTCATTTGGGAAAGACCCAGAGGTGAATTTCCCCGTCGCACCCCTCCTCTTCCTCTTCTTCATACACACACGGTGCACCTGAACCCTCTCAGTCAGCAGGAGTGCCTGCAGCTGCAGGGGGCGCCAACTTGCTGTTTCCAATCCAGACACTGTGATATGACAGATAACAGAAAACCTCGGTGCGGCGCAGATTTCTTTCTTTTTTATTTTTTACTCAGCGCTTGTGCGCCCCTTTTGTGTCATGAAAAAATGCCGCCCCAGGCAACTGCCCTGTCTGCCCGTGCCTAAAACTGCTACTGAACACACACACACAACTCACCATGTATCCTTTCTCATTCAGTTGTTTTCTGAACGAAATGACGGGATTGACACTCGAACTGGATGTATTTCGCCTGAGATGGTGATTCTGTTGGTTCTGTGTGATCCTGTAACACTCACATACACATTACACACCACCCCATACAGAGTTTATAGCTGCAGGAAGTATCATAGTCATACAAATAAACCAGCCAATCAGCATGCAGCTCATTTAATATTAATGTTCTGTTCAAGTGGGTAGGGCAAACCAGTCTTTCCATTGTAGGGCTTTGTTATGGGGTTGTGTTTGGCCATTTATTAGGACTCATGGGTAACTGTTAGCCCCAACAATGTTACACAGAAGCTCAAAGAACATTTTCTAATTGTAAATGTTTTCTATGACCTCTATTATTCTATTAATTGCATTTTTTATTAAATGTATGCACATTTTAAGAATCATATATGTGATGTCTCTATTTGGTGTTTTGCGTGTGTATGGTTTGATGGTCAGGGCCTGAGTCCAGGATGTTATGATACCTACAACGCAGACATCGACTGTCAGTGGATTGACATCACAGATGTGAAACCTGGAGAGTATACCCTCAAAGTTTGTTGCACTCATAAACTAACTTCATTTCTAATACAATGAATAGATTTGAAGTGTTTTCATTGGAAAACCATGCTTTGCAGCTTAAATGTTACTTTCCTCCACAGATCAGCGTAAATCCTTACTATCAGGTCCCAGAATCCGACTACAGCAACAACATTGTGCGCTGTGATGTTCGTTACACTGGGAACTACGCCCATGTGTCAGGTTGTCACATGTCAACGTGAGTGTTGCATGATACTTTTTCTAAACAAAATGTTTTTGCCACCATTTCTCATCATTTCTGTGCTGTTTGATGTGTTTTTTTCTCAGATATTAAGGAACAGCAGTGATCTGTGGAAATTCTACTACTTAAACCCTGAAATCGAGGACTGCCTTCAGGATGTGGAAAATGACATCAAATAACAAAACATGAAACACTTTCTGTTTAGAAAAAAAACTAAGGAAACAGTGCAAGCACCATGAGATTTGGCAGAAATTTTTTTGATTTTCCTCACTGAAAAGCATGCTTACACTATTTTTTCCCCAATATTTTACAACATTGAATTGTACTGTAGGACTATGTTTTAAGAGAATAAAATAATTTAATAAAAACAAATACAAAAGATTTAACTAAGTCATTTTAGCAGAATAATACATAAACTAAAAACATTCCCATATGTATGTGCAGCAGATAAATCTCTTCATATTCAACTGTTGTTGAAATATTCATAAATGAAGCTTTGTGATGCAGTTTTGCCATCTGTTTATAATAAAGTGACCATAGATTTCATTTTTCTGTTTCTGTCAAACACATAAGTTTTGTTTGTCTGAATTTGTGAGACAATCCTGAGAACGTAATCCACTAAAGTTGTGTTTCCAGCTGAGTCTCACTGTGTTATTCTGATTTTTTTTTTTTTTTTTTTTTGGACTTTAGCCTGGAAATAAAAATTGCATTATCTAGTTGCTGGTTACTTTTTCTGACTGACTCAAAACACATTCAAGACTCAGCTGCTTTTGTAATGCAGGTTTTGCCTGATGACCAGCTTGTGCTATCAGAAAACTGTGATAACATCACCACAACGTCAACAAAATAGTTTCCTGGGTTGACAAACTTCCCGGGGACATTTTGCAAGACTTTTTCCAGGGCTGAGTGCAATAAAGAACAACCTGCCTTGCCTAAAAGTGGACTGAAAGTTTAACTTAAATTAAGACTTTTGGGGGGGATAAGACTCCTTTAAACTGTCTGTAAAGATCATTTAATTGAATAATAAAAACTGTTTACACATTATTCTATGTTTACAGTAATTTGTCTGTAACTGTACAACCCTTTTATGCCCACACCAAGAAAAGATAAAGCACAATTTTTTTTATTAATTTGGAGCCTAAAAAAACAGGAATTTTTCTTCCAACTACACTATAGTTTTCATATACATACATACATACATACATACATACATATATATAAATATATGTAGAGAGAGAGAGAGAGAGAGAGAGAGAGAGAGAGAGAGAGAGAGAGAGCATGGATTTAAAAATAAAACATTAAATAAAAATAATTGTTTTTGTGATTTAATTTATTTTAAATTTACTTTCATTTAATCATTAGATACTTTTAAGATATAATCAGTTTGTATCATTGTATGATCGTTTTATTAGCTGCATATGATTAAAATTAAACATTTTAAAACATTTTATTTAACATTTAATCAGACAAAACGCAATTTTATCCAAAAATCCCCAAATAGCTCCACTTTGGCTTTTGGTTACGTCATCCGCTCCACGCGGGGGCGCTACGAAAGCCTACTCGAGCTTTTTTATAGTTCAGGGATTTTTATCAGGTCATTCTGGTAAACCAACTGTAGTAAACCACCAGCAGTGTGTGTCTGCGTCTGTGTGTGTGATTGTGTGTAATGTGTGAGTGTTACAGGATCAAATATAACTAACAGAATCGCCATTTGAGGCGAAATGCATCCAACTCGAGTGTCGATCCCGTCGTTTCGTTCAGAAAACAACTCAATGGAGAAAGGATACACGGTGAGCTGTCGTGTGTGTGTGTGTGTGTGTGTGTGTGCATGCGCGCGCTTGCGCGTCCTGATCTGACCTGCTGCTGTCATCAGTTTTAAACCCTGATCTGGTTAAAATTAAACGCTTCTATGTTATAAACTATTTTGGCCTGCTAACTTTCCTCAGTTTGTGTCTAGATTTGCCTTGTTTACACTGTTTACAAACACGTATGCTCCTGACTGGCTGTCGAGCCCTATTTCAAATTTAAGAAATAATTTTTTGGCCCTATCAAATGCCACATAAAATACTTATTGGCACACCAATGTTGATTTTGAGGGCCAGTACTAATTTTTTATTCTTATAAATTTGCCAGTATTGCTTTTTCAGCGGTGATACATTCAGGGATCAAGAAAAAACTCTGATTTTTGAGTTTCAGAGTGGATGAACCCTTATCAATCTGATCATTGTTGTCTGATTCCTTTGTTTTTCGTTCCTTTATTCTAAAATGCTTCACAGTCACCCTCACATTCATACAGTGTTTTTATTAGGTGTAAACAATAAACCCAGATATACAAGTGAGCCAGTTTGCTTAGGATATCGTTTAATTGTCTCAAAACTGACCCTCTTTATCATCATTTTTCTCTGGATTGGTGAAATATCTGAGAGAAATATTGTTTCTGTTTGAGCTAATGACGAACCAAACCATAATAACTATAAAACCTTTTTTCTTTGCTTTAACTTCCAGGATTTCCTGTAAATCCTACATGAAACAATCCGAATGTGTCCATATAATAAATGTGTGTTTTTTTTTCTTTATTTTGTAAAAGAAAAAGGTGATTATTACTAAATAGCATTTTTCATCTCTACCAGGATTATTGGTCACCTGATGTTTTGTTTGTATCTTGTTTGGGGTTGTATCACCACCACTTCTCCTTTATATGCTGTCATTCTGCTCAGAACAGGGATGTGTGAGCTGAGAATGTTTTACAGAACAATCCAGCTGAGTGAGGGAAGTAGACAGCGGTCTGTTCAGGGATGTTAAGTCTGACAGATCACACTGCATAGGCCAGATGTTTCCTCTCTCTAACTTGCTGATGGTTGCTCTAGAGGCAACACGCTGAATGGCTGGTGCGTCTCCGCTGACGAGCAGTTTTCATTCTCTCCTTCAATCTTTCTTTCTTTCAGGTCTTTAAAATTGACGTTCTGGTGAATGGAAGGTTGTACAGTGTTGAGAAACGCTACAGTGAATTCCACGCTTTGCACAAAATGGTGAGACTTTTAAAATGCATCCTCAGCTTCACTTCAGCTCCTCTTTCATATAAATGATCATATTTTTGCTTTTAATATTTAAAAATATCAAATGTTTTCTGCCTTAAGAGGGTTTTGTTGATCATGTTTGAGTTACAAGAGCATTATAAAGTTTATCTGTGGTATTAAAGTATTTATGAGCTGATTCAGCGTTGGTCAGAACATTAAAAATGACTTGAAATGCTGTTTTCTGTTTTTGTGCCTTCATATTTGAAAATATATAAATTAACTTCTTCTGCTTTTCTGCACTGGTCATCAGAGCGATTTGATGATGGCTTTTCCAGTTCAGACCACTTATGCTGGACTAAAGCGTATGTAGTCATTGTCTAAACCACACATGGATAAAATATGTCCCCTGGACCACAGGCTCGCTGAGTCCTCCAGTGAAAACAAACCAATAGGACCGTTTCCCTTGGAAGAACCAGGAAGAGAGTTAAAGAAAATTCTAGAGTAGAGATCTTGAAAGAAACTTTCTGAAGTTGCACTGATTCTGTTTTGAGGGCCAGTGACCTGCTGGTATCTCTTCTGATTTATCTCCGAGAACTAGAAATAAAGGAATTGATTTAGCATCTTGAATCAAACCTGACCTGTCTAACTCCACTGACATGTAAAGAGTGAGTTGTGTTCAAAAAGAGACAATAATTTATTCTGATTGGTTATTTTTTAGCTGGCTAGTCCTGCCCCTCTGCCTGTGAGTTACCACACTCTTTCTCTATGCAGATCTAAATGGAGGACGAGTCTGGCAGGCCAGGTTAATAAAAATTTGGTCTAAAATACATGGGAGCGGGTCTAAGACTATCGATCGGCTCCAAAGAGGTTCTGGCAAACTGTCCGGCGCCTCAGGAGAGGAAGGCAGCAACTCGCTCACACTGTTTACAGTGGGGATGGGGAGCTGCTGACGTCAACTGAGGCTATAGTCGGACGGTGGAAGGAATACTTTGAGGAGCTCCTCAATCCCACCAATGCGCATTCCGAGGAGGAACCAGAGCTGGGAGGCCTGGGGATGGACTGTCCGATCTCGGGGGCAGAAGTTGCTGAGGTAGTCAAACAACTACACAGCGGCGGAGCCCCGGGGGCGGATGAGGTTCGTCCTGGGTATCTCAAGGCTATGGATGTTGTAGGGCTGTCATGGTTGACATGTCTCTACAACATTGCGTGGTCATCGGGGGCAGTTCCTAGGGAGTGGCAGACCGGGGTGGTGGTCCCCGTCTTTAAGAAGGGTGACCTGAGGGTGTGTTCCCACTATAGGGGGATCACACTCCTCAGCCTCCCTGGAAAGGTCTACGCCAAGGTACTGGAGAGGAGGGTCCGATCGATAGTTGAATCTCAGATAGAGGAGGAGCAATGTGGTTTTCGTCCTGGCCGTGGAACTGTGGACCAGCTCTATACCCTTGCAAGGGTGATGGAGGGGGCATGGGAGTTTGCCCAACCAATCCACATGTGCTTTGTGGATTTGGAGATGGCTTATGACCATGTCCCCAGGTGCACCCTGTGGGGGACGCTCCAGGAGTATGGGGTGGGTGGCTTTCTGTTAAGGGCCATTCAGTCCCTTTACCAGAGGAGCGTGAGTTTGGTCCGCATAGCCGGTAGTAAGTTGGACCTGTTCCCAGTGAGGGTTGGACTCCGCCAGGGCTGCCCTTTGTCACCGGTTCTGTTCATCACTTTTATGGACAGAATTTCTAGACGCAGCCGTGGTGTGGAGTGTGTCGAGTTTGGTGGCAGGAGAATCTCGTCTCTGCTTTTTGCGGATGATGTGGTCCTCCTAGCTTCATCCAGCTCTGACCTTCAGCTCTTGCTGGGTAGGTTCGCGGCCGAATGTGAAGCGGCTGGGATGAGGATCAGCACCTCCAAATCTGAGACCATGGTTCTCGACCGGAAAAGGGTGGCTTGCCACCTCCGGGTCGGGGGAGAGGTCCTACCTCAAGTGGAGGAGTTTAAGTATCTCGGGGTCTTGTTCACGAGTGAGGGTAGGAGGGATCGGGAGATCGACAGGCGGATTGGTTCGGCGTCTGCAGTGATGTGGACGCTGAGCCGATCTGTCGTGGGGAAGAGGGAGCTGAGCCAGAAAGCCAGGCTCTCGATTTACCGGTCGATCTACGTCCCAATCCTCACCTATGGTCATGAGCTTTGGGTAATGACCGAAAGAACGAGATCGCGGATACAAGCGGCCGAAATGAGTTTCCTCCGTAGGGTGGCCGGGCTCAGCCTTAGAGATAGGGTGAGGAGCTCGGACATTCGGGAGGGACTCGGAGTAGAACCGCTGCTCCTCCGGATCGAAAGGAGCCAGTTGAGGTGGTTTGGGCATCTGGTCAGGATGCCTCCTGGACGCCTCCCCGGGGAGGTGTTTCGGGCATGTCCTGCCGGCAGAAGGCCCCCGGGTCGACCCAGGACACGTTGGAGAGGTTACATCTCCAATCTGGTCCGGGAACGCCTTGGGGTCCTGCCGGAGGAGCTGGTGGACAAGGCCGGGGAGAGGACGGCCTGGAGCTCCCTAATTGGGATGCTGCCCCCGCGACCCGGACCCGGATAAGCGGAGGAAGACGAAGACGAAGACGGGTCTAAGTCTGTGCCATATTGGATGCCATGTTTCCTTCTACGGAAGCCCGTGAGGACAAAATGCATTTACTGATTTGTAACAAATGGTTACAAAACTTTCACCAATAATAAAGGTTGTTGTTTTACCTCTTCACTTGTTGCCAGTGATGGAAGGGAGTCTGATGTGTTTGTCATTTTGCTGAAAGTTGCACTCCCAGGGATTTTTGACCCTAATGGCCATCCGTTGGTAAGGTCTTACTCCAACACAAAAATACTGCTTGCTTGCAATGATTTGTGCATCTACTGCCCCCTAATTGCCAGGGAAACTACACACTGTCACTTTAAATCAGCAACTGAAGCTGGAGGTTGTCATGGAAACAGGGCAAACATTCTCTTATAGTTGACTTTTAATATAAGTAGCTCATTGTGTGGATTTTGATTGCTTTGACTGAATCAATACAAACCTCTAGCTGATTAAAATGGTTTTATTTCAGTACCTTTGAATTATTCGTGTTTATGGGATGTTCAGCTGAGTAAACTGAGTTAGTGGCGAGTCTTGTAACTATAGGAAGACAATCAGTGCAGAAAACACTTTTCAGGTGGCTAACCTGATTCATCACTCAGGTTTCTTAGTGGTTTTCATTTTCCACATGAATTCTTCTTTTCTTCCTGGTCACTCATCCGTGCTACGCAGGAGTGCTGCTCAGATGTTGCACGTGCAGAAACTCCAAGATTTTACATTAAGATGCAAACGAAAAGAAAATACAACTTTTTAATTCCAGTCTTTTCAAATGAGTACCCAGTTGTATTTTATTTTTTTAAATTATTTTTACTTTGCTAGATTTATGATTTTAATTTAAGATTATGTGTGTAAGTTTGTTTACAGTCTGCGTCCACGGAGCTTCTATGTTTTGCTAACATTTTTAAATCCTTCCAGCTAAAGAAAAGCATCAAACCACCAGAAATTCCTTCAAAGCACGTCAGAAACTGGGTTCCTAAAGTGTTGGAGCAGAGGAGGCATGGCCTGGAGCTCTACCTGCAGGTTTGCTCACACACTCCCAACACCTGAGCTGAGATTTGGGACCCAAAGATTCAAACTCTGGCTCTGTATCGGTGCTTTGAGCTCTCACTGAAACTTTGCCTTTTTCCCCCTTCAGACTATAATCATGGAAAATGAGGTTCTTCCAAAGATATTCCTGGATTTCCTCAACATCCGCCACTTTCCTTCAGTGCCAAAAACTGAAAGCTGTGGGTGAGTTGAAACTTCAAAGTAAAAGAGCAGTTTGTGGTAGTTTTTTGTTTATAAGAGAGTTTTCGTTCCCAGGCTGGAGGAGAACTTCACCGACTTAGATTTTCCTTATTTTATTGCAGGTCTTTTGATACAGAATCAGATGAATTAAGGTGAGTCACTTCCCACGAGTCACATGCTTGTTTTGTTCTTTAAGTTTTCCCCCTTTCAAGAATGATGTTTGATTTATTTTTTTAGAAATACAGTATCTAAACATGATTGTCTTACCATGTTCTGCAATATAATTTAGTTAATATGTTATTTTTTTGTACAAAGGCTGCCCACCCCCCATCTACCCATCAGTGGTAACTCCCACAATCCAACCCCTTAAAGCTGAGAGTCAAGCGGGGAGGCATTGGGTCCCATTGTTAAGGTCTTTTGTATGACCCACTATGTTAGAAAATTATTAAGAGGCATGCAAAAAAGATTTCAAGCTAATGTGCTTTCCAAATTTGCCATTGTAGCTTTAATCGTGAAAGTAGGGACATGGGCATAAGGTGCACTACAGTTTTGCACCTCTGAATGGAAAAAAGACAAAAAAAGACTGCAGATTGCTGCTTTAATTCTTCAGTGATTGCTTTACTTTTGCGCGTCGCCCATAATGGCTCTGTTGTTGTCTAACATCTACATTTTGGGCTGGTTTTCAGTAAACTTTCTCATCAGCCAGTCACGCTGTTCCTCAGAGATCCCTACCTTCTCCCCTCTGCACACGGTGCGTTCAAATCCAGATACAAACATGAACAAACAAGCTTATTAATATTTATTAATAATATATATTTTTTATTCAGACTCATTATCCAACGTGGTGATTGAAGGGGTGGTTCATGGCGTTTTCTACCCAGATCTTCAGCCAAGGTAGAGCCCTGCTGAGATGGATTTAAAGGGGCACGTCTTCATGATTGGATGCTTGTCTCCCTCTCAGGCGTGCATCAAGGAGACATGGTCCCATCTGCTGAGCCTCATTTTTAATAACTTAAGTAGAAAAATATTTTTTTAATACAAAGAAAACGTCTGCATTAATGTCAACACTAACCCTACTAACTAACTAACTAACTAACTTCTACGTGATTACTTTAAAACTAATCTCTAATAGTTTAAATATTTTAATTTATCTTTGGAATGTACAAAAGAGTAAATAGTTTAAAAAGGGATCATTTCCTGTTTTATGATAAAATAATGAGAGAAATAAGCACACAGAACAACTACGGGGCTCGTTTATGTAGAGCAGGAATGGGAGTTTAGCAGGGATGTGTCAGAAAGCTCTCTGAGGAGACAGAGGGAGGACTGGGATGGACGGAAGGTTTACTCACAAGGAGGTGTTGTTCTCTTAGCGGCCCCTTTTGAGCAGCCAGATGAAGGAGAATAGAGGGTGGAGGAAGTCTGTTCTGGTGGAGACGATGTTTAAAAATAGCTGCGACTGGTTTAATTATGAGATCAGATGGGTGGAGACGACTACAAAGAAAACGTGACTTGTTCAGAAAAGATTGGGACGAGAGAGGGAGTAGCGCTCTATTTTTATTTATAGGTGATTACTTCCTTTCCTCCACACTAACCCACTTTGTATTTAAAAAAGGGAAATATGTAAAAATTAATTATATTTCATTTTTATCTGAATATTTTAATCCATCATTTAGTCTCAAACTATTTTAATTTTCTAATCAATGTTTTGTTGCAGTGTTTTTGTACGAACACTGAACAGTGGCCCTAAAGATCGTTAACACTAACATCAGCAGTTGAATCAGCACATTTTAGGTGAGTTGTGACGTATTAAAGAGGTGAAAATGGTGCTTTGTCAGATAGAGGCAAAAAAAAAAACCACTCAGCCAGTAAAACATTGTGCAATATGAAATGAACAACTAATCTGTGTTTTATGTGTCCAGAACCTGTGAAACTATAAAAAAAAAAACATTTCAATTAAAAATATTTGTTTGGTGATACTTTGTGTTGCATGTTTGAACAGTAGTTAATGATCAAGCTGTTGGTCTAAATTCCATTACTCAACACAGATGAAGACTGAATTACAACTACTGACAGAAACCTGCTTTAGAAGCTTGTTGCCGATTTCTTTGCATTGAATATTATATAAACGTTGTATATTAAATGTGTCGTGTCTGTGCCATTAAACCAAAATACAGTGAATTCTGATGATTTCACTGTAACACTATGTCACAAACTAACGCCAATAAAAAAAAATTCCGGTGGAAATTTTCCACAAACCTTTTCATGTCACATTTGATTTTTTTACTTAATTTTTTTAAAATGACAATAGTTTTACTTTAAAGGTGTCCTAGAACAAGGCTTTTTACAATTAGACTGTTCATTAAGCCTCTATACTTTGTTGGGGCTCACCGTGGTCCAAGAGCCCTGGTAAATGAGCAAATACAACCCCATTATAAAGCCCTACAATAGAAACAGGTTGGCTCCACCTACTCAGCCAGGAAATGAATATTTAATGTGCTACATCCTGATTGGCCGGTTTAGCCAAATGGTTCCATGTTAGAAACTGTTTTGTTTCTGTGCGGTGGTTGTAAAAAGAGGAAGTCAACATCCCGCTAGCTGATGTTGGGGAGGTTGCGGTGCAAGAGTTTGTGGGAAAACAAGGAAGTTACGTATACACCAACATTCTTCTTCGTTTTGCTCTCCAACAAGATGTTTGCAGTATCTCATGCTAGCATTGGCTGTAGCTCGGGCTAACATTATTCTGTGGTTAGCATCACAGTGACCAATGTTTATATATGATCTGCCTGGCCCAAAAAAGTTGCCACCTGGATTTAACTAAGCAAATAGGTAGGAGCCTCCTATTGGATATTTATTGCATGGGCAATCATCTTTCAGCTGGAAACAGGTTATTTAACCTCAACTGGTGGAATGAGTTGCTTCTCATTTCTTAATCACATGGAAAGACAAATCTGGTGGTCGTGGAAAATATGTAACTGTTTGAGACGGGTCAGATCATTGGCATGCAACAACCAGAGAAAGCATCTAGAGATTGCAGAAACGACTAAAACTGGGTTAAGAACTGTCCACGCATTATTAAAAACTGGTCTGATGAGTCAAGATGGACCCTGCTCCAGAGTGATGGGTGCATCAGGGAAAGAAGAGAGGCAGATGAAGTGATGCCATCATGCCTACTGTACAAGCCTGTGGGGGCAGTGCTATGATCTGGGGTTGCTGCAGCTGGTCAGGTCTAGGTTCAGCAACAGGATGTGATACAAGAATGAGGTCAGCTGACTACCTGAGTATACTGAATGACCAGGTTATTCCATCTTCCCTGATGGCAATGCCAGGATTCATCAGGCTCAGATAATAAAAGAGTGGTTCAGGCAGCATGAGACGTCATTTTCACACATGGATTGGCCACCAGAGTCCAGACCTTAACTCCATTGAGGAATGTGCTAGAGAAGGCTTTGTGCAGTGGTCAGACTCTACCATCATCAATGCAAGATCTTAGAGACACATTAATGCAACACTGGATGGAAATAAACCTTGGGACATGGCAAAGCTTATTAAACAATGCCACAGCAAATGTGTGCTTTAATAAAAACTAAAGGTGTTCCAACAAAATACTAGAGTATGTGACCATTGTTGGTGATGCTTTTTTTTTTTTTTTTGGGGCCAGGCAGTGTATTATGCCAATGTTGAAATGGGTTACGACATTCTGATTTAAGGGTGTGTGTCTAAGCTTATGACATGTTAAATCAGTTATTATCAGAAAGAACCATTTTCCATGGCCATTACAACATTACTAATTTGCAAAGGAAAGCAAGGCGGAGATGGCACAGACTTTGTGGTATGCAACATTAGACACCCCAAGACGCCCATATTCAACAACAACAATGTGGTTTTGAACTTAAGAACACCTTTAAATATCAAATATTTCTGTCATGTAAAAAAATACTTTATACTCATTTAGACTTATTCTCATTATTCTAAATGAAGCAGTATTTATAAATCAGTGTGTTTGATATAAAAATATCCACCCCATTACTCAACAGTCTGATTTTACTGCAGATCTTGACATCTGAATTAAAAACTGTAAAAAAATAAAACACTTCAGTCAGGAAAAATACTAAATGTTTCAGAGGACTTCAAATTAAATTGTCTTTAGGGTCCCAGTCAGTAACAGTCCAGCAGCAAAACACACTAACAAATTGGAATGTGTGATTCAGTACTCGGGGATACTTTATCTTTTCCTTTGGTCCTAAATGTATTTTAAAGTTCTCCATGAACAACTTCATCTTTGAGCGGCTCATCCTGGTTGGATTCAGTTTGAGGTTCTTTCATGTTGGCAAATTCAACTTCTCTTCTCAGCTGGTCTAGAGGAGGAAGGCCAACCAGGAGGTTTCGCATCGCGATGGCCGTCATCAAGAATCTTCAAGATAAAAAAAAATTTAAATCCATGTTGACTTGTTCATTATTTATGTTCAAGACCCATCATATCAGAGAGTACTCACCCCCTTCGTACTGTGAAGTACTTTTTAACCGTGAAGCGTTCCAGTCGCTCCAGTGCGCCAGCCTCCCTGCGCTTCTTCACCTCCTTCATCCGGCGCTGCCTCTTCAGGAACAGCTGTACGACGGGATCGGTGGCGTTGACCTCTGCCTTTTCATCGTCGTCTGCAACCATGAGAGGCTGCAGCTCGGGAGGGAGAGGCTCAGTTTCTGTAGAGAGAAACAAATCAGTTATAGATTAGATATTTTGCTAAAGTGTGTGTTTATAGGAGATACTGCAGAGAGTGTTGAAAACTGGATTGGCAAAAATTTTCCAAATCTGTAGCCATGGTTCTCCACCAGAAAACGATGGATTGCTAACTCCGGGTCAGGGGCAAGTCCTACCTCAAGAGGAGGAATTTAAAGTAACACTGAACAGTTCTCCCTGCTTCTCCATCCTACCGGTTGAAAGCAAAATTAACAACTGTCGTAATAATAATCGGCTGTGCCGCACCCTGCTGTAGTTAGTTGGCTCATGTTATTGTTAGCACTAATAATATAAAAACTCTAAGTAAAAAAATCCACACTGTTGAACAAAAAATATTGTTACTTACAAGTCCAATTGCAACAAAGCCAGGTCACAATCAGTCCATGATCTGGTTTAGGCTCTTTGCTCCACCTCCAAAGACATTACTCTCTTACGTTTACCTCCAGGCTCCTCCATGATGCCACCAAAACAGCAAACTGCTTTATTTTTTTATTCTTGTGCTTTTTATTAACAGTCAGCAAACTGAAAAAGCTAACTGCTAGCCTTTACATTAGCTACCAGCGGAGCAAATGGCTAAAAGCTGTTAATCAGGTAGAGAGCTCTACCTAGGGCACGTACCTGCCCCACAAAATTGTTAACTGCAGTTTCTGGTCAGCAGAGTGTCGCCCAAGGCGAAGTTTCTACCTACACAATCACTGAAACCAACTTTTTAGCGAAAAGCTTGTGTTAAAAACTGTTTAATGTTACTTTAAGTATATTGAGGTCTGGTTCACAAGTGAGGGAAGGAGAGAGCATGTGATCGACAGAAAACACATGTTCCCTGCTACCTCCACAACCCAGACCCGGACAAGCAGAGGAAAAGGTATGGACTAAAAACCTCCACAATCCTGGTTGTTGAGACTACGTTTTGCTGAAAGCACTGATGCATTCTAACCTGTTCCGTTGCGGATGCGCTCCTGGAGCTCCAGCAGCTTGGTGAAGTTCTGCTGCAGCGCCGCCTCTGTGGTGTTAACATAAACGTACATGTAGCACGACGGGCCTTCGGACACTGTGAACACCTTATGATAAGCTCCAGCAGGAACCTGCATATATCCACATTGTGAAAAATGAATAAATAATACAGACATACTGTTTGTCACTTATGTACATTGTAGAAGGAGAAGAAACTATCTTTTATATAGCGCCTCTCAAGATAAAAATTACAAGGAGATTCACAGGAACAAAATAAATCGAATAAATGATTAAAAATGAAAAAATATAAAATTGGGAAAAGCAAAAAAAAGTGAATTAAAATGTAAGAAAAGGGAAAGAGAAAATAAATGAGAGGAAATGAATATACAAGGACTAAAATGTGTTCCACTAATAGGGCTAAAGGTCTAAATGTTGCTGGTTTGATACCACATGCTAGCATGTTCTCCTTGCAGGAGGAAACACCCAAAAGTTCAGATAATCAGTAAAAAGAAAGAAAACAAAGTTATGGAGAAAAATAAAATGTGTAAAGTATGAAATATTTCCAGTCCTGTTATTTACTGAGTCACAGTGTTTCTGTAAAATCTGCTCCCGTTTCATAGTTTTTATGTGTAGTTCACTGAAAAAACATGATTTCAAAATAACTTTTCTCATTATGATGAATCACTCTGAATTTTTCATACAGGCTGAACATGAAAACAGTCTCCTTCACCTATCTCCCGCATTTGCCTCTGATAGAAAACAGACGGTGAAACTAGATTTTGAAAATCCTCACAGACCTATGTCACACCGTCACTTAACATTCATGAACTCACCCATGTTGACTCTCGACGAGAAAGGCTATTGTTGAAGCAACCAGGAGATGACAGAACATCTCGACTAGTAAAATCTAACCGTTAGCATTAGCAACTCCACCACACAGCAGAACTCCTCCAGGCTTATATGTTAATTGTGGAGATTAAACATCCACGTTGCAAGTCAGTGATAGAGTTGAGTTGCTGTTATTCAATCAGAGACGTCCAAATTGCAGGAAATAATACTCCAAATCCTGCCATCTGAAGCTCAACTCTGGCGTGGCTCACTTCTACTTCCTGCAACAGACGCACCGGTGCTCTTTTTTCCCCCAGAGTATGACTTACAAATGTGAACCACACCGTTAAACAATCCAATCAGCCTATAAACTAAGTCTGATGCACCCAAAGCATCAGACTTGTTTTAAAAATAAATACAGAAGTGTATAGCTGTACCTTTATCTGCTCACCAGGCTGAAGAGTGTAGTTCTTTTTCCCCGCCACTATCTCCACATTCACCCGCCCCTGTAACACATGAACGCTGGTATTGCCCAGATCTTCACTCACAAAGTTTTCCAAGTGGAGACCTGAAGACAAAAACACTGTGAGCTTACGAATAAATGTTTTATTTTCTTTACAAAGACAGATTTACAACCTGGGAAATCAGCGATGAAGACAATTTCGGTCTGGTTGTCCAAACTGCCCTCGATCTCCTGGAACTTGGTCCTCCAGGGGGAGAGGTCCACTAGCAGAGGCATGAGCCACGGGTTTGGTTTGAACGGTGACCACTCCGCTTTCACGATGTCCACTCGAGGATCAAAAATCCTTAAATACGAAACAGTCCCAAACTTTATATTCCATTCAAACAAACTGAAAGCATTTAGAAGGCTCTCACACCTTTGCTGGAAGCGCTCGTTGATCGACACCCAGATGTCAAAGTAGATTTCTGGATCAGAGATGTTGTAGCGTGGCAGTAAGTGACCGAGACACGTAGCGTACTGCTTCAGCATGTCTCCGTGGTCTTTCCAACGGCGACTCTGAGTGAACACCTACAGAACAAAAGCAGGATTATTTTCTCCTAAATTATGTGCATTTTGCTTCAAACTAATAATCTATTCAGGTATCGTTATCAAAATGATCCACCCTCCACAGAGTTTCCTAAAATCTTACCCCTGGGTTCAAGTATCCGACTTCGCCGGTTTTCCCATCTTTGTAGGTGATCTTCACATGCTGATGGCTGCGGGAGTGAACCATCATGTCCCACGAGTAGCCGTATAAGCCGTTGGTCCAGTTATTATAACCCTGGTACAGAACAGGGACGAAGAATGATGCATTTCAAGGCACCACATCACCATGTTCACTGTTTGAGCTGCTGTTGACACTATTGACCCTGATTGAGCAACGACTACTCGGTGAAGGCTTTGAACTCTCCCCGAGAGACCTACCTTTGTGATGAAGTGGGAGTAAGGCATGAAGAACTGCTCCACTATATAGAGAATAGTAAAAATGGCCCCCAGCTTGTGTTTAAATCTCAGTTTGGAAGATTTGGGAACATTCTGTGTTTCTTGATGCTCAGTGCTGTGGTTCTGTGGGTAAACGCAGGAAGTGCTGGGCTGAATCTCAGATGAGGTGAACGGCAGGACCGGACTGAGGAAAGATGGGAAACGAGAGAAGAATCTCCTGGGCCAGTCGGGGTAGCAGAAGAGAGGGCTGGTGGCCAGCATCGTGTAGGAGAACATTCCTGAGGAGGATCAAAAAGCTCAATGAGATTCAGTTTAAATTAGAGAGGGACTTAAAAGTGTTTAAAAAAAAGCAGAAAGAGCGGCAAGGCAGCACACGAACCGATGCTGAAGAGCTGAGAGTTCATGCAGTGGAAGTACGACACAAAGAAAATCGCAATCGGCCGCGTTGCATCAAAAAACAGCAGATAGCCGGCAGTCAGGTCCAAAGCCAGACCGCCTCCGTGCACGACCAGCAGACTCACCAACTCCACAGGAAGAATCGCTCTGGAAGAAAAGCTTGATTAGAGTAAGGAAAAAATAAAGTCAGAGAGTAAATTCTGCCACAGAAAATTTAATAAAGACATACTTGAAAGGATCAAAGAGCCAGTGATGTGCTAGATAAGACATGGAGTATCCCTCCACCCAGTCTGCATCCAACTTTTTGACTCCAGCAATGAAGTACACAATAAAAATCTTTGAAAATCAAGAATGAAAGACTAAATTAAATCTGCTGAACAAATAATTAAAATTTCAAAAATAAACAAACGAGTGCTGGCACAGACCTGCATTCTCAGCACGGTGTAGTTCCACAGAGGAACGTGAGCATTTCTTATAGATGGCCTCCGCAATCCATCTACTGACCTGCAAATACACACATATATGAGTTACAGAAGCAAGAAAACACACACACTTAAACTAACAGGCATCACCTCACCAGTATCTGTTGCTGTTCATTAATGTGAGCTGAAAACCAATGAGGCCGTAGAGATACGAGTGGTTGTTCCACGCAGTTTTGTCCAGAAAGAAGATGTACCAGTATGTTGAAATGAACATGAGGCAAGAGAGGCGGTAGAAACAGCCGAGCATGATTCCTATAGCACCTTTAATTAGAAACGAACACATAGAATCTGTTCATTAGGCCTTTTTGTCCTTACCATTCCTACACACACACACACACACACACACACACACACACACACACACACACACACACACACACACACACACACACACACACACACAAGTTGTAATGTTTCATTCAGGCTTTAGGGGGGTGGGTTAAGCAGAAAACTTGCAGATGTGTCTGAGTGCTTTTATCTCTGCAGTAGTTTATTCCTGCAGAGATTTTCCAATGTAAAAATCCCCGCATCCGATCAGACACCAGTCTAGTTTTTGAACAAACACATTAAGCGACGCACCAATGAACATGACCAGATACACCAGGTACATCCAGTCCAGCGGCAGTGGCTCTAAGGAATTAAAAAGAGGAAAGCGACACACAGGAGTCCCATCCAGGTACTTGTAATCCAGATGACTGAGGCCCCGTTCCTGTGTGACATCTATGGCCATCAGCAAACCTGCACACATATAAACCCAAAAAGTAATAACTGGGTTTCTCTTTACATCAAAACTCACTTGGATTTTATTTACCAAACAGGCAGCGAAAGATGCCCAGAGAGGCAGGATCAGTGGGACGGTTCAGAAGGGCCACCAGGTTGTGCCAGGAGCTCAGGTCCTCCTTCTTGAACCCTAAAATCTTCTCCATCTTGCTTTTGGTCTCCGCTTTAACACATTTAGCTGCTGATCTCTTCTTTGAAGCCTTTTCTTCTCCATCACTGCTAACAAACGCTCCTAAAATGATCAAAACACAGGCATGTGCTGAAGACACAAAGCAAAACATAATTTGAAGTAATTTGGTTAATAAAAATATGTTATTTTAAGATGGATCTACGCCTGTTTTACACGATGCACAGCTATGGTTTAAATACGGCTAGTTACGGTGTTTACGGTGGAGAAACATAGGAGCTAATTCCTGTTGCTAACAAGCTCACCTGCTGCGGCGTCTCTTGGCTCCATGTCAGGATAAAATAGTTTAAATTCGGGACAAAGGGATCTTTTCACTGCTCCCTCTGTCCCAGGTGGAGGTTCCCTGCGTGGCCAATGACGGACAAAGTTTACGTGTCACAGCTCCACACACGGGGAGTGAGGAAGAGGAGGAGGAGGAGGAGGAGGACAATTTGGGAACGACTGGAATGTTGTGAAAGAGTGCTTTCCGCCTATTGGCTATTACCTTTCTTGTATACGTCCTCTTTTTACGTCACATCCGGTCAGCGTTTCCGCATGATTTTCTTTTTTATTGATACATTTTAGATATTTTCCGTTCATAAAATCAAATACTGAAAAGACAAATCAAAGAAAATAAGTAGTAATATTTTGTCAATATGGCTCATATGTTGTATGTGATGATAATTTTCTATTTTAAATATTGTAACGTTCTGCACTTTAGCTGTGTTCTATGTGAGAATGTCAGCAGTATGTGTTCCATGTGCCACATTCTTTGCAGCTAATAGTTCTGTTGTGCTGGGTTCTCTTTTAAGGTAATAGAGTGGAATTTGGGGGGAGGGGGGGGGTCTAGGAAGGGGCTGTTGGGGTTTTTTGGTCTCGCGCTCTGTCCGTTTTTTATTTTTATTTTTATTTTATTTTATTTTATTTATTTATTTATTTATTTATTTATTTATTTATTTTGGGCTCTGTGTTTTGGTGTGGTTGCGGCCAAGAGCAACTATTTTGGAGTCATTAAAAGGACTAAAGCATAAGTGATCGTCTCCGACCGTTATTGTGTCCGACGGGACGTTACAATATAATTTACAGTGTAGTTGGAATGTAAGTAGTTTTCACATCCTATTTACTGCAGCACCAATATCCCTATAGTGTTACAAGACATCAAATGTGTGTCAGAATAAATGAAACAATCAACTTAAAATGTTGAATCCAAATTTGACACCAACTATGTCTGTTCACCTGCGATCTGATCATAGGTTCAGCTGTTTAGCTGTTCTGAACATTTTAACACAATTTCATTCCCATATTTATGAAATAAAAGAAAAAGCATATTTTTCACAAATCAAATAAAAATGTAACAAATCCCAGACTATGTTCAACAAATTCTGCAATCAGTATAGAATAATCTAGTCCATGGATGAAAAGTATAAGTGAGTGGATACCAACCTTGTTTTTCCACAAAGATTACCCTCAAGACAAACCATCCCACTTAACAGTCATTCAGAGCTATAACTCTTATACAGAGCTTTGATTGTACCATTGGGTGTATCACTGGGATTTTATAAATGTAACTTTTACAAATATAATCTTGGTAATCCCAACTCTTCAGCACAGACTAAATTGTGGGGACCCTCTTAGCGGGTCACAAACCCCACACTGAAAAAAAATCTGTGCTCTTGACATAAAAAAGTTATAGACAGTGGTTCCACAAAACAAAGTTAAGTCCCATTAACATGGCACTTTCATGTTTGTTGAAATACTTTTATGCAAGTGTAATTAATATGACTTTTTAACATCCGTAAAATAAAGTATTTTTAGGTTTAATTAACATGAAATATTCATGTTTCGGAGCATATTTTTTATATGGGAGGAACCTGATTTTTTTAAGTTTATAAAATAAATCATTTTTAGGTTTGATCAACATGAGATTTGAGACATGAGACTAGGACCCACTGGTCAGGTGTTTTATAGCATCAGATGCTCATGAGTGGAAAAAATGGTTGGAGTTGCCCTTTCCTAATCTAAACCAATTCAGCTTTGTCTGAACTTCCACAACAGAAAGACACCTAAAAGAACAGTAACATTTTTAGATTTATTATTTTACTTCATTTTCCACTAATATCAACTTCCAATTTTAAAATTTCCATAGTCTTTTTGCTAAAGTTTTCTTTTTTCTTTTTAATTTTAAAATTTGTCAAAAAAATGGTGTTTAGACAAAAATGACAACAAATCCCTTGAAGTAGATATTTAGGGCCACTGACATTTCTGGAAAAAAAATCTCATGAAACTTGTTTAATTAATGCACTTGCAGTTGTCTCTAGTAGGAATGAATACCTTGTAAGTCATATTCGGGGGTAAAAAAATATACCAGTGCACCATTTCCAGGAACTTGAAATTATCCACATCACAGCTGAGCTTCAGGTGGTATATTTTGGCATGGACACAACACACTGTCAGTGTCTACATGTACAAGTACTCCTCTTTGGGAATCACTGGTCTATAAGCAGAGAAAATTCTGAGAAGATCTGAAGAGATTTATAGTTAATTAAACATACAAACAGATGTTTATATGTCTTCAAAAAAAGACACTGATAATTTGACTTATTGTGAACAGGGGCCAAGAGGAAAAGTGAGAGGTCAAGCATGTCTATTTAAGAATTTTAAATTTTAATTTATGGTTCCAACCAGTTCATCCTGGTAATTAAACAACCTTCATTATGCTTTTATTTGACTCAGTGATTAACATCTTATCTACTTGAATATGTACCACAAAGACTAGTGTCCAATTATCACCAGCAGGCGGTGCCATTGCGCATGACAGTCGTATGTGTAACTGTTGCTACAAACCGCCGAGCGAAGAAGAACAACAAAGCAGCTACATTATTTTTAATACATCCCCTCGCCTCTTTTGATTAATGTTAGCCTTATTTAGCAACATGTAACTAGAACCAGATAGCCAGTCGCTCTCCGGAGACTTGTATTGGGCAGCAGATGGTCAAAAGAGGCGCTGTTACTGTTCTCTTACATGGTTTTGATGGTGAGTTTGTCAGCCTAGCTCGCTAGCTCTCAGGTTAGCTCTTCTCCACAGACTCGTAAACGTCATCTTCACGCCTCTACCTCAGCTTCAGTTGTTATAATCACCAGGTAAGTCGAACACATCGTTACCTTTGGTGATCATCTGAGTCATAACCGGCAAATTATTATTATTATTATTATTTTGTGAATAAAATGCTCTCACTACTAACAAAATTGAGCATCCTGAACATGAGATCAACCCTTTATCAGTGCTGGCAAGTTTGAGCTAAAACTTTTCTAATCAGTTCATTTGTCAAATATTGCCACATTCCTCTAAGGATATGTGATTATGGTGGGACAGAGATAAATAGGATTGTGTAATTTGTGCTGATAGAAATCACAATATTTTGAGAAAAACGCATTAAATTAGGAGATAAAATTATTTTCTGCGGTTCATTGCTGAGATAGACGTTTTTCTAAATTGACAAAAGCAGTTTTTTAAAAGCTGGATTAACGATTTAGTAATCTATCAAGAACAAGATTTCTAGTTGTTTAGAACAGTCACAGCATATGCTGTTTGTGCTTTTTAAAACAAGTGGAAGATAATGCAGCTGCAGCTTCAAACAGAACTGGTTTCATTTACATTGATGTAAAAAGCTGTGGTACAAGGTCCACAAACAGCCATTTTTTTAACTGTCTTTGTTATTTTCTTTTGAGCACTGTGGAGGCTGTTGCTTTGCCTTGCAAGAAGGTTGCAGGTTCAAAACTCAGCCCCAGCCTTCGTGCACACGTTCTTTTCATGCATGCATGGGTTTTCTCCAGGCACCACAGTTTCCTTAAAAATACCAAAATCATGCATGTTAATTAAATTGTTGCCTCTCACTTGTCACACGAGCATCGATTGGAACCGGTTCCAACTGTTCGTTTTTCCCGGAATCATTCAAAGGTTGTTTTTTTTTTTTTTTTTCGATTCCCAGTTTCGATTCCTAGAATGCCGACGGAAGAGGAATCCGGCCGATCTCCGTGAAAATTAAACGTGATCTGCAAACTGTGATCAACGCTTTTCAGAGCTGATCACACCAGCTGTCTGTGTGCAGCACAGAGTACTCCCCACCCTGCGCTCAGTGGCCAAATGTAAACAAACGCCTCTGCCGAACTTTTACTCCGTAATGTAAACTTTAACTCCTGCAGTGTAGAGGAAACTTGTTAAATACGTCAACATTGGACACAGTAGATTTAATAGAAGCTTTAAAGAACAAACTGGACGGTGTGAGGTGAGTTTATCTCACTCCAGAAATAAAAACACACGGAGCGTCAGCAGTCAGTCGCAGCCACCAACACCTGTGTGTGTGAGCTTGAGCGTCAGAAGGCTGAACATAACCTGTAGAATGATTTAAGTCATCATGCTAGAGCAGCTTCTCTGTGGTGGACCACACCAGCTTCTGCCACAATAAATAATAATAATAATAAATAACATTTTAATTTCCTTTTTGAACTATTTCTGTTGAGTTTTAATGTTTAAAATCTGTTAGATTGTTACTGACAGCAGCTACATTCAAGTTTCATTTTCTGTTCTGATTGAATGCTGCTGAAGCATGGAGGTGTAGTTCTCAGTCATCCTGGACATGATCATCCTGAGAGTTTTAGCTGAAAACAGCTGGACCATCCATCCATCCATTTTCATCCGCTTATCTGGAGTCGGGTCGCGGGGGCAGTAGCCTAAGGCGAGAGGCCCAGACTTCCCTCTCCCCAGCCACTTGGGCCAGCTCCTCCGGGGGAATCCCAAGGCATTCCCTGGCCAGGTGAGAGACATAGTCCCTCCACCGTGTTGTGGGTCTACGTTTAGGTCTCCTCCCGGTTGGACGTGCCCCTGAAAACCTCATCAGGGAGGCGTCCAGGAGGCATCCTGACCGAGCCACCTCAACTGGCTCCTCTCGATGTGGAGGAGCAGCAGGTCTACACCGAGCCCCTCCCGAAAGACCGAGCTTCTCACCCTATCTCTAAGGGAGAGCCCAGCCAATCTTCGGAGAAAACTCATTTCGGCCGCTTGTATCCACAATCTCGTTCTTTTGGTCACTACCCAAAGCTCATCACCATAGGTCAGGGTAGGAACATAGATCGACCGGTAAATCGAGAGCTTCACCTTCTGACTCAGCTCTCTCTTCACCACGACAGACTGGTACAATGCCCGCATCACTGCAGATGCAGCACCAATCCACCTATTGATCTCACGCTCCAGTTTTCCATCACTCATGAACAAGACATTGAGATACTTAAACTCCTCCACTTGGGGCAGGATCTCATCCCTGACCCGGAGAAGGCATTCTACCCTTTTCCGAATCAAGACCATGGTCTCAGATTTAGAGGAGCTGATTCTCATCCCAGCTGCTTCACACTCGGCTGCGAACCGCTCCAGCGAAAGCTGAAGATCATGTTCTGATGAAGCCAACAGAATCACATCATCTGCAAAAAGCAGAGACCTGATCCTCAGGCCACCAAAACGGATGCCCTCCACACCTTGGCTGCACCTAGAAATCCTGTCCATAAAGGTTATGAACAGAATCGGTGACAAAGGGCAGCCTTTGCGGAGTCCAACTCTCACTGGGAAGGAGCCCGACTTACTGCCGGCAATGCGGACCAAGCTCTGACACCGGTCATAAAGGGACCTAACAGCCCGTATCAGAGGGCCTGGAACCCCATACTCCCGGAGTATCCCCTACAGGGCCCTCCGAGGGACGCGGTCAAATGCCTTCTCCAAATCCACAAATCACATGTAGACTGGATGGGAAAATTCCCATGCACCCTCCAGGATCCCCCTAAGGGTATAGAGCTGGTCCAGTGTTCCATGGCCAGGACGAAAACCACATTGCTCCTCCTGAATCTGAGGTTCAACAATCCGACGGATCCTCCTCTCCAGAACCCCTGAATAGACCTTACAGGAAGGCTCAGGAGTGTGATCCCCCTGTAGTTGAAACACACCCTGCGGTCCCCCTTTTTAAATAAGGGGACCACCACCCCGGTCTGCCAGTCTAGTGGGACTGCCCCCAATGTCCACACGATATTGCAGAACCGCGTCAGCCAACACAGCCCCACAACATCCAGAGCCTTAAGGAACTCTGGCCGGATCTCATCCACCCCTGGAGCCTTGCCACAGAGGAGCTTTTTAACCACCTCAGTGACCTCAGCCCCAGAGATTTGAGAGGCCAACCCAAAGTCCCCAGACTGCTTCCTCACTGGAAGACGTGTTGGTGCGATTGAGGAGGTCTTCGAAGTATTCTGCCCACTGATCCACAACGTCCTGAGTAGAGGTCAGCAGCACACCGTCCCACTATAGATAGTGTTGGTAGCGCACTGCTCTCTCTCTCCCCCTGAGGCGCCAGATGGTGTACCAGAATCTCCTTGAAGCCGTACGGAAGTCTTGCTCCATGGTCTCACCGAACTCCTCCCATGCTCGTGTTTTTGCCTTGGTGACCACCCGAGCTGCGTTCCTCTTGGATTGCCGGTACCTGTCAGCTGTCTCTGAAGTTCCCCAGGCCAAAAAGACCTGATAGGACTCTTTCTTCAGCTTGACAGCATCCCTAACCACCGGTGTCCACCAGGGGGTTCGGGGGTTTCCACCACAACAGGCATCGACGATCCTGCGACCACAGCTCCGGTCGGCCGCCTCAACAATGGAGGCACGGAACAGGGTCCATTCAGACTCAAAGTCCCCTGCCTCCCCCGGAACATTTTGGAAGTTCTGTCGGAGGTGGGAGTTGAAGCTCCTTCTGACAGGAACGCGATACGTTTGGGCCTGCTTGGTCTGACCCCACCATCTGAGCCAACTCACCACCAGGTAGTGGTCAGTTGACAGCTCCGCCCCACTCTTCACCCGAGTGTCCAAGACATGCAGCCGCAGGTCAGATGAAACAACAACAAAGTCGATCATCGAGCTGCGGCCTAAGGTATCCTGGTGCCAAGAGCACATATGGACACCTTTACGTCTGAACATGGTGTTCATTATGGACAATCCATGACTGGCACAGAAGTCCAATAACAAAACACCACTCTAATTCAGATCGCCGGGAGGGGGGGGGGGGGGGGTTCCTCCCAACCAATAGCCAACAGCTGGACATTTCTGGATATGTTGGAGACATTTAGCCTCTCATCCCAGAGGCTTCTTCCAGACTTTGGTTGTGGTCAGAAACAAACACACTGGTTGTGCTGCAAGTCTTTTTCTTTTTTTCTCCAAAACGTGTTTTTGTCTAAATGAAGGTGATATTAGTGATGGGCAGGAGACCTGACCACGGGGTTTCCTGCCTCTCGCTCAATAATTGTGGTTCATAAAATTTTATTTGTTCATTTTCTTCTTTTCAATTATTTGAGATGGGAAGTTTGGGCAGCAGGTTTCAGTCCCCCTCTCAGGGACCAGAGGAGTCAGCAGAGGGTACAAGTTCCAGTCGCAAACATGCCTGTGAATGTAAAAAGAGAAAACGAAATGCTCAGTGTGACTGCGAAAGTGAGCAAGAGGAAGAAGACGACATATTAGATACACCTCGCAGGCAAGTCACACCAAAGGATTTAATTCAGCGTTGCTGCCTTTTAATCACCTTTGTAGTTTTCTTTATAATCTTGCATTTATATTTTCTCTGTGTGTGTTTTCTCTTTTTGCAGGAAAAAGTTGAAAAGCACTTCAAAATATATTTACCAGACATTATTTCTGAATGGTGAAAACAGCGATATTCGCATCTGTGCTCTGGGGCAGGAGTGGAACCTCCACAAAGTGTACCTGTGTCAGGTAAAATAAGTAAAAACAGTCCTGCGCATTATCAGTTTTTATATTTAAACTTTTTATTTATTTATTTATTTATTTATTTGCAGTCAGGGTATTTCTCTAGTATGTTCAGCGGCTCATGGAAGGAATCCAACATGATGGAAATCAACTTGGAGATCCCAGACCAGAACATTGATGCTGAAGGTGAGCGTCCCAGAACACAGACAAGAACTTTACTCTTGATTTTATGTTGTTGTTGTTGTTTTTACAGTCTGCATCTCATTTTGCTGTGTTTGTGCAGCTCTTCAGGTTGTGTTTGGATCTCTGTATCGTGATGATGTCCTGATCAAGCCCAGCAGGGTCATCTGTATTCTTGCTGCTGCTTGTATGCTACAGCTGGTCAGTCCAGGACAAAATATATTTTTGATTATAAAATGACTGCATAGGATTTGCATGTATTATATCAAAATAATGCAAAATCTCAGTAGTTTTCTTTGTACTGTTGACAGGACGGCTTGATCCAGCAGTGCGGTGAAACCATGAAGGAAAACATCAGTGCGAAGACTGTGTGTGGTTACTATGCTTGTGCTAGCATCTACGGCCTGGATTCAGTCATGAAAAAGTCAGAACTATTTTGAATATGTTAGGATTTAATTAATAAGCATGATTTTTATGTCTGTATTTGTGTTTGAAGGTGTTTAGAGTGGCTTCTTAACAACCTGATGACCCATCAGAATGTTGAGTTGTTGAAAGAACTTGGGTATGAGAGATGGAGATGCAGCTTTTTCTAAAACAGGAAATAATGACCTGAACAATCCCGCTCACTGTGTGTTTTGTTTCTGTCTGCAGGGTTGATGTGATGCAGCAACTCATTCAGTCCTCAGATCTGTTCGTCATGCAGGTGGAGATGGATGTTTACACCGCTCTGAAGAAGGTAGACGGCAGGGAGTTGCTCTGTTTCTTTACCGTAAAGGCTTTAAGTCACATATGTAAAACACAAAGATAGGATTTCACTATGGCTGGGCAGTAAATCGAAAATGTATTGTTATCGAAATTTCTGACTCATCGATGTTTCCCATGTCAATAGATTTGATAACAAAAAAATGAAAAGATGTGCGTAGGTTCGCAAAGTTCATGTCCCTTTAAAAAGCTGTACCACTTTTGAGTCACGTAAAACTGTGACTCAACACGTGACAGCCCCATCTAGTGGACAAATTTAGTTTCTGCACATACCTGTAGTTATCGTCCATTTATCGTTATCGAGGTGAAATCCTAAATATATCATGATATTGATTTTAGGCCATATCGCCCAGCCCTAGATTTCACCCATTTAATAGTTTTATCTGATCATATATAATAGGTATTATGTGCAGCCTGCAGATGTAGAATATAAACTACAAAAACTACAAGTCCCAGAATGCATTGGAACTCCCAACATTCTGTTCGTTTGGATGGTGTTTTTTAACATTTGTAGTAATCAGTTGTAAATAATTTTCTTTAAAATAATCAGTAAAAGATCTTGATGGAGGAAGATATGAGAAAGTAAAAGATGGATGTTCTGACATCTAAATATTGCATCTTGAGAAAAAAAATCACATTCTGTACAAATATTTTGAAATCTGGAAAAAAAAATTATGATTATTTCTGATTATAATCAGTCACTCTGAGTTTTCCATGCAGGCTGAACATGAAAACAGTCTCCCACACCTATCTCCTGCATTAGCTTCTGATAGAACATAGACAGTGAATCTCGAGGATTAGAAAATCTTGACAGATCTACGTCACACTGTCTCTTAACATTCATGGACTCATCCATCTTGACTTGAGACAGGGACGGCTGTTGTTGTTTTAGCATCCAGGAAACGGCAGAGAATGTCGGGACTAGCAGAAGCTAACTATTAGCATTAGCGACATTACCACACAGCAGAACTCCTCCAAGCTCGTGTAATGTGTGGAGATAAAACATCCATGTTGCAGAGCAAATGGACTCACTGGTAAAGTTGCATTGCTGTTATCCAATCAGAGGCAAAATGTCCTACTAGAGACCACTGCAAATGTGTTGAAAACGAGTTGTATGGTTTGAGAAATTGAGTGCTTTTAGAGCTTAATATATATTACCTCTACTCATGACCAATAAGCTGTGATACTCTATATAAATATAGAATATCAACCTGCTTGGTCTTTACGGTGTTTAACCAGAAGATTCTAGGATTCTTTGTTTTAGTCAGGGATTGTAAACACTTTGTTTTGATTCAGAAAAGAGTCGGGTTTATAAAAGAAGAAGAGGAAAATATCATTTCTATAGCGCCTCTCAAGATAAAAATCATGAGGCGCTTCACAGAAACAAAAAATATAAAAATATAAAAAAGAATTTAGAAAATGGTTAAAAATATATTTATTTCAAATGAGCAAAAAATAGACAATTGTTATTTAAAAAGTTAAGAAAGAGAGAGTGAGTGAATAGGAAAGAGGCAAATCAGTGGATCCTGAGGAAGGTGGAATAGGTGGGGAGAGCAGAATAAAGAGAGAGTGGTGAAGAAGGTCGTACAAAAGCCAGCTTGAACAAGTGAGTTTTCAGCTGCTTTTTAAAGGAGACCACTGAGTCCACTGATCTCAGGCTCAGGGGGAGAGAGTCCCCGAGTCTGGGGGCCACAGCAGCAAATGATCTGTCACCTTTGGTCTTTAGCCTGGTGCTGCACAACCAGTAGGCTTTCATCACTGGACCTCAGGGACCCGCTGGGGGTGTAGGGACTAAGAAGATCACCAATGTAAGATGGTGCTTGTCCATGTAAGGCCCTATAGACCAGAACCAGGATCATGAAATGAACCCTGGAGTTGACTGGCAGCCAGTGAAGCTGGAGGAGAAGTGGGGTGATGTGATGTGAAAAGTAAGAATTTATTTTTAAAACAAGTAAAACATGACAGGTTAACTAACATTTCTGTGATGGATGAATGTAGATGTAGTATGTGGTGCCTATGTGTGAATGCGATGTTATCAGAACTGTATCTAGGAGAGCTGAGTTCTGGGTGTAAAAGAATTTGGTTTGCGTTAAGCTAAGAATTTGATTATTATCGAAAAGCATCAGACGCTATCTGTGTGTCTACTTCACCCGTTCTCGGAGACCCTCTTCGTGGATCCGAAGGTCAGAGAGGTTAGATGACCTCTGACACCCAGGTCCAGTAGATTGACCACATCACCGACTTCTCCAGTCCAGAGATGTCTCGTGTCAGATGGATGGAACTTAGCGTCAGACGGACTCTTAAGGAGTCTGAACAATATCAGCTTGTTCTGCAGGAACTGTTTGCTACATCAGCTTCGCAGGTGCAAAAAGATTTTGACGACATGTCAAAATCTTTTTTAGATTAGAGAGGTTTTGCTTCAGATGGCCGGTCTGAAGCTTTCTCAAGAACTGATGAATCACCAGAGTGATCCAGTTTTAATGTTCTCATGTTATGATTTGTGTAGCCAACCAGAGGCTGACAAGTTGAGGAATATTACCAAGACAACTCAGAAAAATGCCTTCCTTAATACCGGATGCTCTGATCTGGGGTAAAGGACTATCTATGTGTCACGCTTTTAACTTAACTTTACTTTGTCCTTGTGTGAGTGCAAATGGTGATGACCTTGTCATCAACATGCTGAAACATATATCATTCAATGTAATAACATAACATTCATTTCAAACTTCAATCGCTCAAGCACAGATTAATGAAAACATTTCATTATATTATAATTATTATAAGTAGCAATAAACAAACATTTATTTAATGATTATCTAATTTATAAGTTTAAAAGTTCATATTTAATTTAAGAAATAATTCTTTGATTTAGCAACTAATCCGAGCTGCGAGTGTTCCTTATTCAGAGGCATGAAGAATCCTGTAGGACGATAAGGGAAGCTGGACCTTGAGGAGAGAACATTGTTGACAATACGTTATCATGTGTTCAGAGCTGCAGAGAGGCTCTGAGCTCCAGCTGATGGGATGAAGACAGGCCAATTTAAAGGGAATACATGCAGTCTCGTGTCTCCATTTTGACCAGATGTTGAATGGTCAAACAGTACCTAAAAACTGACCATTACTGGACATTACAGAGTAAACCACACCTTTAGTCCTACCCTTCGTGAAATTAAGTTAGACACCCTGCTCTAAAATCATTTTTATTCTGTTTTTTAAAACTGTTTCTTTAGTGGATGTTTCTGCAGCTCAACCCATCGTGGGACGGGCCGATCAAGCAGCTTCTAGCCGACGCTGACACCTGGCTTTGTAAACGCAGATCAGGTAAAGTAATCTGTTAGTTAGAGTATTTTGTGTCAGTAATCAAACACTTACCTTTTTTTAGTAACTTAGTTTTTGTCCCTACAGACCTGTGTGAGAAAGAGCCATTCCTGAACACAGAGGAGGGGGCAGCTTTTTGCTCGGTGTTCAAACTCGTACGACTCCAACACATCATCAATGATCTCGCTTCTGCACGCATCCTGGAGAGAGATAATATTTTACCTCCTGGTATAATCTGATTCTAAAATATCTTGATTGTTGTTCTGTGTGCTGTACCATTTTTACATATGTAATGTTAAACGTTATGTTTCAGAGTGGCTGACAACAATGTATAAAAACCAGTGGTTTGCCATGCTCCGGACAGAATTTGACAACGATAACGGGTGAGAGGCTGAAACCCAAATGGCAGTGATCTTATTTTATGTTGAATAAACTCAAAGCGTCCTGAGGACACAGCTGTCTTTTACCTTTAGTCCCCAGGTGTCCAACAAAGACGAGTTTGAGCTGAACAGTATGAGGTGTGGCAGGAAACTGAGTAAAGATGGAGATGTGAGTTTAGCCATCACTGTCATCGTTTATGTTTGTTTCTAATTTCTTTCTTAATAACTGTGATATTTGTTTGTTTCAGTACTGCTGGCGGTGGACAGGCTTTAACTTTGGGTTTGACCTTTTGGTGACTTACACAAACCGCTTCATAGTCTTTAAAAGGAATACACTCAGTCAGCCATGTGGGGGCGCTGTGAGCCTACAACCTCGGAGACATCTAGCATACAGGTCAGAGGTTCAGTCAGCATGTTCATAATACAGATAACGATGTCTAAAAGGCCCATCTGTCTGGGAATATACCGAAAGGTTGGGTATGAGGTGGTTTTGGGGGCATTTATTTTCAACATAATGCTCATCACATACTGATGTGATTTAATTTCATTATTATTAATCATTTTATTGTGAATTATTTTATTCATTTTGGGGGGGAGCCTGAAGAAAGAAGGGTAGACCTTTTTTTAATTGTGTATTTACAAAAAGTTGCTTGCTTTAACAGCAAGAAAAACATTTACTGTATCTATCTTATACTCATAGGAGTGTTAATAAAAATAAAAGCAATGAAAAGTAAGAGATGGCAAACGAACAACCCTAATCTATAAATGTACGGCGTAGATGGGAACTTATCTGACATAAATCCAGCAGCTGTCCACCCTCTGGTAGTTTCTGACACTGATGGAAGAACATATTTATACCGTTTCAGCAGAGGAAGCTGAGATTAAAGAAGAACATCAGTTCTATTGAAAATGGAAGAGGAAGATTTTGTGTTACTATTAAAGGGAAGTGAGTTTTTGGTAATGGCAACGTTTATAACGGTTCATTTATCTGACTGTAACCTCAGTTAACCTCAGACAAACCTGACTACTAAATTAGGATTTACCACCCTGCAGGGGGCCTCTGATTTAATTTGTTCTTTAGTCAAACATCATCACATATATAATTATTACCGTATTTTCCGGACTATACGCCGCTACTTTTTTCCCCACGGATTGAACCATGCAGCTTATAATGAGGTGCAGCTTTACTGAAGATTTTCCTTCACCTGCCAGGGGGCGCTTTAGCAGAAAGTGAAACAGGTGGAAGTCAAAAGTGGAAATCGAAGAAAGTGCTCATTTTAATTTAGCAAATGCAAGCAGCCGGCACGACGAAGAATTTTTTTCAAATCCATACCCCCTCATCATGGAAACAACACGTATGAGTTCATATGTTGCCGCATTTAAGTTGAAGGCCATCGATCTGGCCGTAAAGGAGGGAAACAGTGCTGCCGCACGTAAGCCTGGCATGAATGAATCCATGGTTCGGCGCTGGAGACGGCAGCGGGAAGAACTCATTCACGCCAGCTTCACCCGGGGATGATGACAGCAACACGGACAGCGGCACTGACATCGCCACAGAAAAGGTGTGACGAAGCTCTTCTGAGGCTGTTCAACTCCGACACTGAAGAAGAGGACTTTAATGGCTTTAGTGCGCAAGAGGAAGATGAGAGCGAATGACTTCTTCTAGTAGGCAAGTGTGTTTTATTTACTAACCAGGCATGTTTTGTGTGCAGTTTTTATTTTCTAATCATCCAGGGCTTATTAATGCTGTGTCAGCGCTTTTCTTTTCTTCTAAACATGCAAATTACCAGTAATAACGTGTCAGTTCTGTTTTTATTTTATAACCATCCAGAAATATGAATGCTATCAGTGCTGTTTTCTTTTCTAAACTTACAGGCACGTTCACCCGTTTTTAAAATTTGTTTTTGTTGAATTAAAACAACAACGAAAAACCTCCGTGTAGCGTCTTTCTGTCTAATTATCATATGTTATGGCCATACATGCGCTGTGCGCCGGAGACCTGCATGTGGCTGCTGCGCCGCAGCTTGTATTTGAGTGCGGCGTGCGTGTGTAGAAAACCTTTTTTTTTTTTGTTGGTGCGGCTTATATTGAGGTGCGCTCTATAGTCCGGAAATTACGGTATAAGAGACATGTTATGCAAAACTCACCTTCTGCATCATTTTGTGGTGCCATGTAGGTTTTTATTACCTTTTAATACTCTAAATGTGGAAAAAACCCATCCGTCCATTTTCTGACTGGGTTTGGTTTTAGGAATTGTGCCTAAACCAACCTGCTTCCAAAAGTTCCCGTATGTGAAATCTTAGAATAACTGAAAAAAACAAAAGCTCACCTGGTGTAGAGCCACTGCTGGAGGAGCAGCGGCTCTACTCTAAGCCTCTCCCAGATATTGGAGCTTCTCAGCTTATAGCAGCCTGAGTGGGAATGGGTGGGGTGTGACCAGCTCCAGGTTGTTTTCCTGAAACAACTCATTCTGGAAGGTGCCAAAACTGTCAAGAATAAAACTGCTGAAATAGTTTTATGTGAGAAGGATTTAGTGCTAGGAACTTCATAAGCATGTATCCTATCAACCACAGGACAATTAATATCTTGAGAAAAAAGTCGTAACTTGTCCCCTGTAAGTTTGTAAAACGATGGATCAGACTAAGGTTGTATGCGGATCAGCAGAAGCTTTGGTTGCGTCAGTCATGATCACAGCAACACATATAAAACATGCTGTACACCTTAACCTGACGTTGACCTTTTTTTTATCAGGTTACGCCTCGCCTCTTTCGATAGCCGAGGGAAACTGGTCTGCAGTCGCTCTACAGGCTACCAGCTTCTCACTCTGGAGAAAGACCAGGTCAGTGAGCACCTCCAGATGTGCTCAGCTGTCTGTAGACTGACTTAAGATTCACTCATCCCCCTTTCTGCCCCTCAGGAGTATGTGGTGATGAACCTGGACAGCCGGTTGTTATCGTTCCCCCTCTATGTGTGCTGTAACTTCCTGTATACGTCGCCCCCTTCTGACCACCGTCCAGACTCCTCTGAACAAAGCAGCGCGGCTCGCTCCGTGTCCTGATAGCAGCTGAACAGCCGTTAACCATTCCCCTGGTCAAGTGGAAACAGTGATGTAAAGTTATTGTTTTTGTTTTGTTTTTTACAATCAAGTCACTTTTGAACTTTTCTTCTGCATGCCCCATAGTTCTGTCAAGTATTTGAGGCTCATTTTTTACATCCATGTAGGAAGTGTTCCAGCACATTCTGAATAAGCCTTTTTATATACTCGGTTTACCAAATGATGCTCAGGAAAGATCAGACCATCTTTTATCCTCAATAAAGCTTAATCCATCCTACTCCTCTGCAGTGTGCTGCTGGAGCGCTCTAGAATAAAAAAAAGCTGGAAATTGCTTTTGACTCTGCATTTGAGACGTTTACAGTAACATGATGTGAAGATCTGGTGGCTAAAACCCTCCTTCAGTTCCTTTTTACATTAATTGTAATTCAACCACTCAGAATGTGGTTTATCAGCGTGAATGAAGGGAATTTGGATTTTGTTCTATGTGGACAACATGAAGGCGTAGAAACAGGTTTAAAACAAATTGCATCATCAGATATCACACAAATGAGAATCGGACTAACTGGAAAACTGAAGTTGTGACCGACTACAAAACATAAATTAAACTTTGAGATGTGCCTCGCATGCAGCATTAAGCTGCTTTATTCTCTCATGTGCGCGTGCTGCTAAAAACAGCAAAAAGTTAAATTGTGAAAAAGGATGATTTTTAACGGTCTTTATCTGCTCCACTGTCCCGGTGCGTGCCGCTTACCTACTCCAGAGTATTTTACTTTTGTTCTAACGGTTTGTTTGGCTTTTCTGCTGCTGTTACCTCGTTGTTTTGTAAAACGATCATCTTCAACATTTCTGTGTAGCTCCTGTTCAGATGTTAAATTTGATTTTATTTAGCCATTATTTATTTTTCTACTTTTGTTGTATTTTTATAAATCTGTTTTCTTTGCTGAAGATATCTATGACTTTGTACTGCTAATAAAACAGCCCTCTGACATGGGCCGCAGTGCTATCAAATGATCCCATCTCTTTCCTAATGAAGGTCTGTATCAGCGGTTTTAGATAAATCATTTATAAAATCAGCTTTTCTTTTGCTGATTAAACCTTTAATAAGGACTGCACCAGTTAAAAAGCTGGACACACCATCTTATTGACATTTTAAAATGAGGTCAGAATTGATGTTATTCCCAGAAGTCCAGTCATCCCTTGATTACCTGTTTTCTTTACCTTTATCATTTCATCTCCAACTTGTCCCTATCTCTGCTTAGTTTTCTCAGAGGCAATTTTTTTATTTTACAGCAAAAACCAAAAACAATACATTTCCAGTCACTATTTTTGAGATTGTATTGTATCATTAGCTGCTTTACCGTACATGAAAATAACTTGAAATTCTTTGTATTTGCAGAATTAAGCTTATTCATGATTAACACGAGATGTGGAGCTATAATAAGCAGCAATAGCACCGCTGCAGTCATTGCACCATTCCTCAGGCTGCCACCTGACAGTGTTTTTTTTTTTGTTCCACGATTTATGAAAGAATGGGAATATTTCTGTCATTAAAAACGTTTTCACAAAAGGGATTGTTTCCTTTTTCATGGGCAGATGACAGTGATGTCACAATATCCTGGTTTTTATATTCTTAATTGATAAATTAACAGATCTGACAACAGGAGGCTCAGACAAATACAGGACAACTTAGAAATGGGAAGAGGACAAATTAAACAGAAAATCCTTCTGAGAATGTTAGAATAACTCAGATCTGCTTGAAGTAATTTCATCATGAACATCTTCACACAAAACAAGATGCCAGGCACATTAATCCATTATTTATTTATTTTTCTGTTGATAAATTATCTAACCGATCAAAAAGGTTCAGCTTCAGTCAAACAAACAGTTAAAAGTCTCTGAACCCATTGTGGTTAAATCCCCGAATTTATCAGGCATGCTGTTTCGTTCATCTAGAGAGTCCTAGCTGGCTCTGGGACAGAATACAGTCTGGCTATGATATAGAGTCCAAATTCCCCTTGAGTTTTCGGGTCATGCTGGGGATCAGGTTAATGTGGTCATCCACACAACTGCCCACACAGTGGTCCATGAGCGATCGAACAGCTGGCTCCTTTGCACCGGAGTCAAAAAGATCCTTGGCCTTATCGTTGCAGTGCATCGTACATCTGGTTAGACGATCCTGAGAAGGAGTAAGTATGCAAGTTCTGTTGATATTCGTTGTTTTTAGTGCTTGAAGGTTACAATAATAGCTTATTGCCTTTGTGCAGGTGGCATTAAAATTCTGGATGCACAGGACAGAACAAAACATTTTGTTTGAAAAAATCTTCACTAACTAAAAGATCAAAGCTCTTATAGGTACACCTGATGCATATGACAAACTTTTGTAAACATTATAGATTCAGTTTGGGATCATGAAGTCTGAGTGACTGAGTCAAGTTCACCAATCTACTTAGAGGACCAACCTGAAACTTCTCCAACTCTGAGGTGACCAGTGCCTGGGCCTGAGCCAGAGGAGTGTGACACCTCTCGATACACTGATGCACTTGGGACATGGAGTCTGTGGGGCGATCACAGCAGTCTGCACTGCACCTGAACATGCGACCCTGCAGATGGATCGATCACACACACACACACACACACACACACACACACACACACACACACACACACACACACACACACACACACACACACACACACACACACACACATGCGCGTGCCCACGCCCACCAGAAGTGCCTGAGTGAAAGCATGTATTGTGTGAGAGACAGTGTTTAATAAATGACACATACCTGCATCTTACGGATGTGATCTCTCTCTAGACTTTGGACCATGTCTTCGATAACACCCTGCACGCGTGTCTGATGCGCTTCTGCCATCTTCGCTCGTTTTCTGTTGATAAATAACTACAAACGCTCTATAAAAAAGGTTTCTAAACGACCTAAACCAGTCCGAACCGAACTACTGAGCTAATCAATCATCACATGTAAACTACTACTGTTTCTTTACAGTTTAACAACCTAAGGTCACCTCCATTCAAGCATGTTTCCAGACGAGAGACAGTTTCGTCACTTCCGATCTTTTTCCTCGTCTCCAAAAACAACTTCCGCTCTCAGTGTCTAAATAAAAGCGGGCTGGCAAAGCATATTTCTACTCTTCTTAACTCTAGGTTTTTCACTTCACACGAAACCATGTATAAAAATGTATTGTAAAAATTACATTTCTAATAAATAGTTATAGTAAATTGTAGAGTCGCACTCATGTTTGTGTGACGTTCTTAATATTTATACTGGCAAAGAAGTGGGACATTAGGAAACTGGACATTTGTGAAATGAAGGAATTGAAAACACGAGGTTTTATACTGATTGTATATATTATAGATTAATATAAAATAACATTCTTTATTTCAAAATCACGTTTAATTATGGCTGGCGCATAGGCCCCATTGCATTTAACTTGATCATATTTGTCATACCATACATTCTATCATTCACAATTTTCTGTACCAGCAGCCAAATAAAATGTTGAGGAAAACAAACAAACATTTTTTTCTCCCACGTTTCATTTGTCCAGACTTTCATGCTTTTATTGTGAAACTCTAAAGCAAGTTTGCCCGGAAGTGTGTTGAGCATCGTCTATGGTTCTGGTTCTGAAGGGAACCCGTCGTTAGTTTTTTGAAGCTTCTACTTTATCAGTGGTTATGATTTATTTCTTACTTTTGTGTTGTTGTTTTTTTTAGTCAAAAAGTTGTTTTTGTTGAGCTGTAGAGATATTCTGAAGTGGAACTTCGCGTAAACTGCTTCTGGTTCAACACTCCTGGAACTGATGGTATGTACCACATTACTTTTAAGAATAAAACTCGTAATTTATGTAAATTTCAATAAAACTTTTAGCGAGTTTCTCTTTAAGAATAACACTAATTTAAGCAGATACTATTGTGCTCCTCTCAGATGTAGAATATTGCTGTTTCCTTTCCCCCTTAGCTTGTGTCTGAACTTTGCTTCACGCTGATAAAGATTTGCTTATTTGAATTTATAAAGGCTCTTATTTATTTTTAACCTGTGCAGATGCTAAATAGCTGCAGATGCTCACAATGAATTTTCACACGCTGTCGCTTCGAGCCGTGCTCTTCCTGGGCCTTTATCACTCCGGCAGGAGAAGTCTGACCTCGGCTTCTGGTCTGCAAGAGCCGCAGCCCCATAAAATAGGTAAGTGGCCAGCAGCGTGGAGGCCTGTTTGTGTTTTCTTTTAATTTATGAACCAATCTTCTAAAATCTACTTATTTGGCTAAAATTGCAGAGTATCACCATTTCTTGTTGTAAAGTCTTAATCTGATTTAATATATAGCTCTTACTGCTGTGATAGTTGATGTAGAAGTGCTGTAAAGGTGTACAGGTCTCCTGAAATGTCCAATAGGCCTTTTTAAGCTCACATATTTTATTTTAATTGAGGTATTTTTAAGGCTTTCTTTTGATAATCTTTGAACACTGATTGCAGTTTCTCATGTGATGATTTCCAAAACCAAGATAATTCTAAAAGGTAAATGGCCTGTATTTGCATAGCGCCTTCTTAAGGTTCTCCTACCCCTCAAGGTGCTTCACAACACAATCAGTCATTCACACATTCACACACCGGTGGTGATGAGCTACAATGTAGCCACAGCTAACCTGGGATGCACTGAGAGAGGCGAGGCCTGCCGAACACATGCGCCACCATTCCCTCCGACCACCACCAGCAGGCAAGGGGGGTTAAGTGTCTTGCCCAAGGACACAACAGCAGCATTCTCTGGTGGGAGCCAGGATCAAATCTGCAACCTTCCAATAACTGGACAACCCACTGAGCTACTGCTGTATTCTAGTTTTAAAAAGGGTGTATAACTCAAGGGATGAACCAGTGCTGTAACAGCGCAACAACATGGTTAATAACTGTATAAAAAGTATCTCTAGGATCTTTAGCTTTTCATCCTGCTGCAAAAACACAATATTTATTTTATTGGTATCACACAGAAAGAACTCTACATTGGGTAACTGTCCATGCTATAAACGGTGCAATATATATTTAGTCATTTTATAGGGGGCATAAAATATGGAGTATGGGAGATACTTTTGCATGTCACTTTGTGCCGTTTTTTATTTTTTTTCTTTAGCAAAAAATTCATGATTTTAACGAAACCTTCAAAGTAATCCCTGGACAAATGGCTGTGTGTCTGGGGGGAGGGTGACCAGGAGTACAGGTCAGTCATTATGGACTATGTGGACTCTGTAAGCATAATCACCTTTGCTTGAACACCAGTAAAACAAAGGAAATGGTGATTGACTTCCAGAGAAACACTTCTCCTCACTCACCAGTAAACATCCAGGGAGCAGACATTGAGGTGGTGGATACCTTATAAGTACCTGTGTGTTCACCTCAACAGTAAACTGAACTGGTCCAACAACACAGATGTTCTGTATAAGAAGGGCCAAAGTCGCCTCCACCTTCTGAGGAGGCTAAGGTCCTTCAGAGTTAATTCCCATCTGCTAAAATCCTTCTGTCACTCTGCTGTGGTCTGTTGGGGTGCAGGCAACTCTGACTGAGACAGGAAGAGAGTGAACAAGCTAAATAGCTAGCTCGGTTCTGGCCTGCCAACTAGATTCAGTTGAGGAGACGTGTGAGGAGGATGGTGGTGAAGATGACCTCCATCTTGAAAAACCCCTCCGACCCACCGCACTCCAGATTTTAAAAAATGTTTCTTATATGATCAATGTTTAATGTTTAGGTATCGGCAGCATGCAAGGTCTTTAGGTCAAGATGAATCTAACATTGCATCTTTGTGGCAGACAAGGTGTCAAATTGAGAGACCAGAACAGGTTTATTTTCAAGTTGTTGTTATGAGCAGACTCGATACTGGTTCCACCCTCAAGCCTACTTGGTTGAAAGACACATAATTGGCACAACGAATCAAAAACGACCTGTCTGAAAATGAGCAAATATGCTGTCAAAGTCCAAAGAAAGCCTGTGGCAATTTAGAGACATTCAGACATATTTGTTAAGGCTAGTTTAAAAGCTAACAAGAAAAAGTTGTTGATTGGTGTTTGGAATTTGGATGATGCTGCATGAGATGAATTTATTTATTTACTAGTATTTTATTGTCAGCAAAGTCATTTAAATTACATTTGAAAGTGAGTTCTACTGAGAAACAATTTTTTACTTGTTATTTTCTAAATATAATTGTCACTCTTAAGTTTCACATGCAGGCTGAATGTGAAAAAGTCCTCTACACTTGTTTCCTGCATTAGCTGCAGATAGAAAATAGACAGGAAAACTCTCAGATCAGAAAAGCCAGTCAGCATTCATGGACTCAGCCATCTTGGCCTGTGACAGGGAAGGCTGTTGTTGGTTTAGTATCCAGGAAATAGCAGAGCATGTCTCAGCTAGAAAAAGCTAACTACTAGCATTAAAAACTCAGCCACACAGCAGAACTCCTACAGGTTTGTGTTATTTGTGAAGATATAACATCAACATTGAAAAGCAAACAGAGTCAATGGTAGAGTCATGTTGTTGTTAGCCAATCAGAGACGAGTTATTTGAATATCACAAATAATAATGAGTAAAACTCCTAATCCTGCTGTCTTCTGCTCCCCCTCCTCCAGGTAACTTCTAGTTCCTTAAACAAGAGTGCCAGAGCTTTTTTTATTCCCACAGAGAACAACTCAGTTTCTGATCAATGTGCCTGCTTCTGAGTACTTAAATATTGTTTAAAGTCTGCTTTGATTGCTTTTACATATTGTATATGAGAGCAGTCTTGACGTCTAACAGTTTTCTTATTTTTATCTTGTATGTTTTTATCTTCTCTGTTTTTCTTTGGTGTAAAACTAACTATGTGTCTGTTGTTCTAAATGAGAATGAGTTCTCAATCGACTCATCTGGTTAAATAAATTTAAAAAAGGGCATTGATTTTTACTCAAGACCACAGTAGATTTATTGAATTAATTAGTGTACACCCTTTTTAAAAGATGACTTTGCTTTTGCAAGTCGTTGCAGTTATTCATCCTGTTGTTTGCCTATCTGGACTGACTTTTCTGTCCACTACTCATTTCTGCTGCTGTTATTAGTGGAGGATTAAAAAACCTTGTCCTTCAGCTTCTAACGAGTTTAGTCATTTTAAGCAGACATTGTGGTCTCATCTGGTTTGTCTTTTCTGTCCGTCTGTTCTTAAAGCTGTGGTTGGAGCAGGTATTGGTGGAACAGCAGCTGCGTATTTTCTGAGGCAGGAGTTTGGACCTGCAGTCCAGATTGATGTGTTTGAACCCGGCACTGTGGGAGGGCGACTGGCGACAGCAAAGATAGGGGGCCATGAGTATGAGACTGGAGGGGCAGTGATTCATCCTCTGAACCTACACATGAAGCACTTCATTGAAAAATTAGGTAACGTCACCGCAAACATAACTGCTTAGGTAACCTGCTTGTAGCTGCGGTGTGAACCTACATAATCCGGTTAAATTGTTTCCTGTGTAACAGGTATTCCCCCAAGAAATGACGTCCCCTCTAAAATGGCCATCTTCGATGGAAAAGAGCTCGTGTTTGAACAGAGTGACTGGTTTATCGTGAACTTTTTCCAAATGCTCTGGCGCTACGGATTCAGTTTCCTTCGAATGCAGATGTGGGTGGAGAGTGTTTTGGACAAATTCATGAGGTGTGTAAAAAGTTTCCAAGGTTCTCTTAAAGCCATACTTTACAACTTTTTCATATTTTTAAATAATTTTCTTGAGCCAGTATGTGCTAAAATAACCCTTTACAGGGTTAATGAAGAGTCACTCAGACCCCCACAGCCCTCTTGGGCCAGAGTACCACACTTGCACCTTCAGACTGGCGGGCCTCCACCTGTGGACTTAAACAAATTGAGCGGTTTAATTTAGTGATGAACCACTCCTGTAGAAACTAATGAAGGCTGAGGAGATATTTCAGCTGTTGGATTAAGATGTTAAAAAGACAAACGCACAGCAAGGAAATAAGTTTCACTTTTGGTTTAAGCACAGTGAATTAATAAAGGACACTAGGGGGTGTTAAAAGGAAGCAAAACTGCCTAGTATCCGTTTTGTACAGCCAGGATATAGCAGCTCAAACCTATCCTTCTCTTGGCAGAATCTACCAGTATCAGCAGTTTGGCTATGCGTTCACCAACGTGGAGAGGCTCTTACACGCCATGGGGGGCGATGGCTTCCTCACTCTAATGAATCAGACTCTGGAGGAGGCCATGATGGGAGAAGGCTTTTCTCAGGTCTTCATTAATGATATTGTTGCACCCATTACTCGCGTCAACTATGGCCAAAGTGTTCGCATCAACGGTTTTGTGGGTACGTTTTAATAGGCGAGGCAGTCACAGACCTGAGGATGTGTTTTGTGATGTGTGATCTTGTGTTTAGGGGCAGTGTCGCTAGCAGGAGCGGACTCGGGCCTGTGGGCTGTAGATGGTGGCAATAAGCGAGTGTGCACAGGACTGATTTACAACAGCAAGAGTGAGCTGATCCACGCCAAAGTCACTTCAGTTACAATGAAGAGTCGACCATCCAAGAGAGGTAGGAATGCTCTTCATTTAGAGAACGTTGTTATTTACGTCTGCATTTTATGGTTTGACACCAACTCCCTTCCTTGTTCAGGAAACGCCGTCAATCTCTATGAGGTTAATTATGTTGGAGAATCGGGCTCGGCGCACTCTCTGTATGACATTGTGGTCATAGCAACACCGCTTCATCAGGGAAAATCAGACATCACGTTCTCAGGGTTCTGCCCTCCCATCCCGTCTCACTATCCGGGTCTGTACCACCAGACTGTCACCACTTTGGTCCACGGCAAGCTGAACATGTCCTACCTGGGAACCACAGAGCCGGCCTCGAAGTTCACGGTGTCGGACATCCTCACCACCGATTCCAAGTACTGCGACATCAACAGCCTGAGCTCACTGGACCCCGTCACCATTCCTGGTGGTTACAAACGACCACGTGCCAGTCACACCACAGTCTGGAAGGTGTTCTCACCTCAACCCCTGACCCAGGACCAGCTGCAGAGGATCTTCCTCTCTTACGATTCAGTGTCCGAGACTCCGTGGCTGGCTTACCCCGCGTACCGTCCGCCACACAGAAAGACCCCTCCTTTCATCCTGCACGACCGACTGTACTACCTCAACGCGGTGGAGTGGGCGGCTAGTGCCATGGAGATGAGCGCCATCGCGGCCAGGAACGTGGCCCTGCTAGCACACCACCGCTGGCACCAGCAGCCCGGGAAGATCGACCAAGAAGATCTGCACACACGACTGAGAGGAGAACTTTGAGAAGAATGAGAAAATGCCACTTGAACACCAGCAGTAGCGTGGCAAAATTGGATACTTGTGTTGTGCTGAAAAAGAAAAGAAACACTGTGAATCAAACTGCACTGAAGGGTGGACACTAGAGTCTCCCTGTTTCTTTCTACAACTGTTAGTTGTGAGGAACACCTTTTACATTTTTGGCTCATCCAATCAGCTTTTCTTAACCTTTAGCCAAACGTTGCCCCTTCACACCAGAAGCTTCCTTTGTTCATGTACTTAAAATGTTTTAGTAAAGTCCCCTCTCTCTACCTCTTCAGCAGACTGAAGATTATATTTAGAGTTCAGACATTGAACAGCCAGAATAAGAGATAGTATTCTTGATGATTCCGTTTTGAGCCTGTTTATTTTATTTGAACATAACTGTAATTAGACAGGGAAATGTTAAAAAGCAATCTGTTGTGAAATTCATCTTTAAAAAATGCCTGTGCCTTAAAAAATCGTGATTTATGTGTTTATGAAATAATTAAAGTCACCTTTGAAGAAAGATGCTGTAAAAGTTCGACAACTAAGGTGTTTTTCTGCAGGGTGTTGAGAATAATTCAAAGTATTTTGAAACCATGAGTGATGGGTTATTTGTTTTATTATTTTACGTTCTTCTGGTGCAAAATTCTAGTTTAATGATTTTTAAATGATTCCATTTAGAAATGATTTTTATATTTTTCATTTTCTTCAAAAAGTGACAAAACATTCATTGTGCACTTTACCCAGATTTCAGTTTCACGCCTTCCTGTGTTTAAAGGTGTTTACCATCACAATACATTAAAGAAAACTTGATCGATGTGATGTTTTTATTTTTTGTCTCTCCAGATTTTTGAAAATCAACAGAAATTTAACAATATAAGTGATTAGAAATAATTTACTTATTAGTTTACATATATACTACTATTAAGGAGTATTTGAGATACAAAATATTGTATCATAATTTTTATTCATTTTAGGTCTTTAGCAACTTTATAATAACTGTTGACTTAATTTTATGATTTTCTTGCATATTTCTCCTTTTATTTCTAATTATTTGATGCACACTGAGTGAAACCTTTCAGAAATTGTGTCTATAATTTAATAAAGACAGAAATGTGGCTAAACTATACTATTCAACATAAAGTTAGACTAAATAAACAAAGCCTCGTGTCAGCCTGTTTAAAACTGAACAAGTTAGAACAAAAACATGCTAAAGATGGTTCAAAGTGACCATTTTCTAAATTTTCAGGTCGCTTTTATGGCCTCCCATGCATGAGCTATGACAGTACAGGTAGAACTGGGAAAATGAGAATATGGTGCAAAAGTCCATTTATTCCAGTAATTCATCTTAGACTGAGAGACCATCTAAAGGCTCAGGAACGCTTTGCAGGTGTTCTAGATTCATTAGCTGATTAGAGTGCAACACTTGGGAGTCAAGAATGTCGAACCTTTTCACAATATGCTAATTTTCTGGGATTTTAAATGTGGGGCTTTCATAAGCTGTAAGCCATAATCATCACAAAAGAAAGGCTGAAATATCTGGATTTGCATGAAACAAGTTTATGTCATGTATTAGTTTCACCTAATAGGTTGAATTGCTAATTTTAATTTTTCCAGTTTCACCTGTCGATCACAACAACAACAACCAACAAGGGTAAACCTTTGGGTGTTTTTCTTTACATCTCAGGCTTTTGGTGCTTCTGTTAATTGATTCAGCAGAGACATCACAGCTCTTTAATCTTTAGGATTAATTACGTAATCGTCTCTCCGAGCACCATCGTGATCCATTTCCATTCCTGACAGGAAACATTGTTTTCATCTCCGCCACACGCAGACCCTGTTTTCGCCTTATATCAGACGTTCCAAATAGAGACCCATGTGACCCACAGGCTGACAATGAGGGGCTTTGATAATCAGAATAAGGATCTGTCTGTTTGGTGATGAAGCTGTGCTCTCAGGTAGGGGGGCACAATGGAGCCGGAGCCGCCAGTCAATGTGACACGTGATGCTGCTGCTGGTTTATAAAGGAGGAGGAAAAGGGGCAACACAGTTCAGATGAGGTAAATATACAGACAAGATGAGGTTTCTAGCATCCCTTCTTGTTGTCTTTGCTGTGGCAGTGCTTCACACTGGTAGGTAAAAAAAAGTTACAACATAAAATAAATAAATCCTCTTTGGTGCTTCTCTAATCTTGTGTTTAAATTGTTTCCTGTAGTTCTCTCAGCATCCCTGGAATGTGCAGAGAAAGGGGAAAAGGTGACTCCGTATGGTGAGGGATTTACTTTATCTGTAAAATAACAATTAGAAATGTTTGATTGAAAACATCTGACTATCTTTTCACGCAGATGGGCTGACTGAACTGAAGAAAATAGGTAAAATATAAAAGTTCACTTCAGTTCTGATAAAATCTCAGCAGAGGTGTGAATCTAAATGTCATTTTCTCAAACTTCCACGGTAATGTATCTAATTTAAAGCTTTCAGAAATTTCTTTTTTTTTTCTTGAATCTCAATGAGTTGACACTTTAATGTTCATAGTTTGTTTCCTTTCAGGTTTTTATGAGAGTATATTTGAGTTTTCTGTAATTTTTAGTACTTTTTTTCCTTTCAGATCAGCTGGAGTTTGAGGCTGCCCAAAGAGCCAAGGCAGCTGAGCTCAATGGTGAGTTTGTTATTATTATACGTAGTATTATGTTATACTTTATTGTTTCACTTCATTCTATCACACACTTTACAATAATAGAAATTAATTTAGACACACATGTAAATTAAATAAACAAAAGCAAATAGGGATTTAAAACAAAAAACAAACTGTGATCATACACAAATATCATACATATACATACACAGCTGGGCTACAACTGGGACCAAAAATCCATTCGATGTATGTGTGCTGACCCTCTTGTCTTAAATAACATAAATGTTGCCCATCACCTTAGGTCTGCATCTTCCATACATTCAAATTATTATTTTAAAATGGGTGATTTAGATTTTTTTCCAACCCCTTGTAGTTTAATCGCAATATTTGTGAGTTTAAAATCTTAAAAAAACTTAACAAGTTAAATTTCATTTTAAAATGAATTAATATTAGATAACTGTTTCTCCTTCAAGTAACGGAGGAGCAAAATGAGGACTCTCGCTATCTTGGTAAGCATTTCATAATTATGATTTCATCCAAACATGAGAAAACTAACCACGTGATTAATCACATCTGGAATCTTTTTTTTTAATCAACAGAAGCTGCTCAGGGTGAAGCTGGTAGGTTTCAGGTGTCGTCACAGAAAGATTTAGGTGTCTGCCAAAATGCCTGATTTTTATTACAAATGTTTTAACAGCTGAGGAGCATGGTGATGCTGAGAATGAACGGAAAGGTTAGAGGTACTTGTTTTTAATTAATTAAATGTGATTTTTCTCTATTAACCCTTTTAAAATGTTCTCCTGCAGAGCAAACAGGAAACTCTGAAGCTGCAGATGCAGCACACGATGGTGAGGCAGATTTTACAGTTCAGAAATCAGCCTGCAGGTGGCAGTAAAGGACAGTTTTAAATAGTCAAATGTCTGAAATGCTGTGTTTCTTACAGAATCAGTGTCTGAGTCCTCTGAGGACTCTGATGGTGAGTGGAACAGAAAGTTAATGTGACCCAGATGAGCCGTCATTTTAACTTCTTTTCTATTTTGACAACTTTTCATCTTTATCTTTAATATTTGTTGACAGGGAGACAAAGAAGAGGTGAGAATTTTCTCATTCATATCGTTATAAAACTACAATTTTGCACAAGGCTGATCAAATCTAAATGTATTTATAGAGCATGAAGAGACAGTGACAGAGACTGTGAGGAGTTTGGGTGAGTGAAAACACACACACACACATCCACATATTAAGGGTAATATTTTCTGTTTTCTTGATCATTGCAGATGAAAGTCACAGTTCATCACAAGAACAAGGTGAAAACTTCCAGCTCACTACATCAGCGATCTTTCATAATACACACATAAGTGTGAAAGGTCCCAGATCAGATCAGAGGGCCTTTAGGTAAACTGAGCTACCTGCAGAGCCAGATGTGGTGAAATGTTTTCAGCAGAGCAGTTAAGTCTTAATTGTGGGTTATGCAATGAACCAGACAGAGAAAAACTGGGCCGGTCACAGCCAGATGCACTTTTAGACTGACTCAAGCATCAAGTCTGCAGTTTAAAAAAATAAGTTCCTCAAGCAAAATTTTTACTTTAATGGCAGTCGTGTTTGTTTGACTGTGTTTAGTCTTGTTTAAAGGGGTAATTAAGTCAGTGTGATTTGACCTCAAAACAAGATGTCAGATTTGTTTATTCAAATCCAGTCCCTTTGTATGCAAGCAAATGTGGGACAAGAATCCAGGACACCGTCCTGGTCTGTCCCCAGGTATTTATTGTACTTGATTCAGTCTCATCTGCTTTTTGGCTATTTTTGGGGTTTCAGCTGCAGTCCCTCCTCAATCTTTGATTTAAGAAAGGTGAAATTCTGTTTTGCAGCAAATCCTCAATCCTTGGTGGATAGAGTAGGCTCTTTGCTTTTCATCGGGGGGGGGGACTGCAGTCATAATTAATCTGTTCCGACTCAGGTGTAGCAGTGAGTCATAAAGACCGTAAGGAGTTGTATAAAAAGCTGCATTATGGTGTTTGTGAACTAAAAAGGAATCTTCTGTCCCACAGATGACTGAAAACCCACTGCAGCATGAGGAAACCAGCACTAACTCATCCCTCCCCCATGTCAGAGCTACATCAAGCTTCTCACCAATAAAAGGGAAACTCCCACCTGTCTGAATCATGTCTGTATTATTAACACATTTTAAATCATCAAAACACATCAGCATTTGTATTTTTTTTCTCCATTTTTATTGAAGTTTTATCATCCACATATGTGGAGTAGTTGGCATACAAAAGAAAAGTCTTTGGTACCTAAGGAAAAATAAACGTAAGGCAACTACTGCGTCTAGTTGTGATATGCATTTAGCACTGCAGTCAGGTGACCACACACTGGTAGCATGCAAATATACTGTATATTTGCTCTGGTTCTAAAAAAAAAAAAAAAAAAACAGGCCAACTTCCAGTTTTAAAAGGTCTTGAACTGTCTCTTTGAAAACGATCAAAAAAATGGTAAAGGTAGCACAACCTTACTGTCTAAGAAGGTGCAAGTTTCATACAAAAAGCCGACTGAAAGAAGCTCCAAGGTGAATGAGGGGAAAAAAATGGGGCTAAAGCCATTAACCAAAGCTGAAGCAATCAAGTTTTAACAGGAGACTTTAAGGTTTTTGAGCTGGTGGACATTTTTGGGTACACCTCTCAAGTTGAGGGGAACTCAGGCAGGTGGAAACCCAGATCTCCTAATTGGCCTTAGACATTTCTTGCCTAGAAGTGTGCTGACCTTTGTGTGTTTACAATGCAGTATTTTCTGATTATACTGCAGGTGCTCATCCAGTGTGTACAGCTATACCACAAAAATGTTAACTGCAGCACCTCAAATTCAATAGAATATGGTTGCAGGATAAAGGTATAAGCCCTAAATCTCAGCAGAATGTTTTTGTTCTATACGAGGAAAAATAATGTCCAAAATGAAGATATGAAAGATGCAGAATATGAAATAATGTTAGATACTTGGAATTAAAAACAATAGCCTTCGCATCTACATTACCTTCAGCATGTGTTATGACTGTAGAATTCTATTTAAAAGCTAATACTGCAATTTAAAATCTGTCAAGTCAAATCAAAAACAGGATGTTGGTATATACATATAATTGCAAAGTAAAAAAAAAAATTAGTATTAACACAAACAGAATTAATTAGTATTAACAAAACACCATTGGTTGATATTTTGACATTAGCTCTTTACAGAATGATACGAGTTTCCCCAAAGGGACAAACAGCAAAAATCTAGGTTGTATATGAACCACAGGCACATGTCACCAGTCCTTTTAAACATTTCACTTTCCTTTCTCTTTCCAAAGTTGTTGGCTCTGAAGATAATATTGAGGCCTTCCAACTTCACTCCCCCTCTTGTGCACTGAAGCGATGTCTTTTCCCTCCCTTGCATGGGATATAGCTGTATGCTCACAGGATACCACTGTAGATGAAGATAGCCATGATGGCAGCGCTGATCAAGCCAGAGATGGGCACCGTCACAAACCACGCCATGAAGATATTTCTGAACAGACGCCAGTCCACCGCCTTCCTCGAACGCAGCCACCCCACTGCCACCACAGAGCCCACCTAAAAACACAGCAGTTGGAACAATCCCATCATACATAAAATTATTCCAAAGTCATTTGGATCATGCAGCAGACTGTTTACCATCGTTTCCTGTGTCTCATTCAAATTTCCAGACTAGTGTTTGCCTAGCCTACCTTGCAGTGGGTGGTGGAGACAGGCAGACCAATGTTGGAAGCAACCACCACAGTCAGAGCGGAGGCCAGTTCAATACTGAAACCACTGTGGGGAGAAAGAAAACCTCTCACGTGGATGTAGCCGAGTGGCCTGCTAAATTCAGAAACAAGGTCATGTGCGGTTTTAGTGTCTGGGAGGTGTCTGTACCTGGAGGGGGTGATGGGGGTAAGGTCTTTGCCCATAGTCTGGATCACCCTGCGACCCCACACCCAAAGTCCAATGCAGATGCCCACCCCACCATACAGGAGAAGCCAAATGGGTGTGGGCATGTTTGAGGTCACACTGCCTGTGCTGTAAACCAGCCACAGAGCCACCAATGGTCCAATGGCATTGCTGTAGATGAAAGAGCGAGGTCATTTTAACAGTGGCCAAAATGTCCTGACAAGTTAAAATGTTACGACCTGTCAAGAGGCGCACGTTTTATCTTAGCCTGGTAACGTGACCTTCATACAGTTCTTACCTCACGTCGTTTCCTCCGTGGGCAAAGGATCCAAAGCAGGCTGTTAGAATTTGCAAGAACTGAAACAGAGTTGAGACTTCTGGTTTATCTTCGTCAAGCTTGTCCTCCAGAGAGCTTTGGCTGCTGCCTGCATCTTCGTTGCCTATTTCTAGTGTCACGTCACCTTCTCCCAGACTTTCAGGAGTCGTGTTTTCTGCCACGGCATTGCAGTAGCTAGTGTAGCTGTCCATGCGCACACGCTTTCGCTCATGACCAACAGACCCTGGAGCCTTGTCACCATCCTCACTAGCACGGATGTCTCCTTCCCTATGCCTGAAGTCCCCATGCAGGCCGATGATGGCCATAGTGTATGAGGTGTAGCTGTTGTTCCTCCTGATGGGTCGGTCACCAGCCTCGCCCATGCAGTCGCCAACTTTGGCCAGGTGGAGCTTGTGCAGCAGGTCTTTGTAGAGACCCGAGTCCTTATGGACTGTGTGGTACTGACTATAGCCATTATTTGGTATCTGTGCTGGTCTGTTATTGAACTGAACCTGGTTGTTGAAATGGACCTGATTAGCAGCATTTGCACAGCCGTTACTCTGCTGATTGTTTGTTGGTTGTTTGGGGGCTGCAGAAAGGGCCAGAAAAATGTTTCATGAGCTGTGAATCATTCGCCGCGTTTAGCAGAAGAGGAACACGCATTTTTTAGCACAGAAGCACTAGTCAACTAGCAAATGTCGTCTCTTGGCATACATACCTTCATTTTCATTGCTGTAATCCATGTCATCAGAATCTCCAATGTCAAAAGCCACCTTGCGCTCCTTATTTTCCCCTTCGTCAGAATCTCCAATGTCAAACGCCACCCTGCGTTCCTCAGGGGCTCCCTGGGATTCGGGGGAAGTGTTTTGATTGATAGCTGGCTCAGTCGGTGCAGACGTCTCCTTAGCAGTCTGCTTCAAGATTGGACAGTGGGCCTCTTTGAGCTCTCTCTTTTCCATCAGGGGGCTCTCAGATGGACTGGAGGACTTGGCATCTCCTGGTAGGAGAGAAGTTAAACTGGATTAAGTCCAAGCATATAAATGTTCCAGAAGAAAAAATCCTAGATGAGTATGCAATAACCCTCCACCTAATCTGAAACTTCTAGTAAGAATTGTGTAATCAGACTCAGGAGGACATTATTTTACTCTTAACACATTATTCCATTTTTAAATTTGGGTCTATTGATAAGATCAGATAAATGGAGGACATTTACATAACAGTTGGCAAGCTGCCTCATGAAAGATGATATGACCAAACTTACACCGAGACCCACATATTTAAACACCATGGCACTGAAGGAACACTTTTCCAGAACACAGCAAATGCCAAGTCACCACCTTATGTGAATGCAGGACTGTTTTAGCCAAGGAGCTAAAAGCCAATTAGTGGATAACTTTTGACCCAATTTATTGAATGAACAGAGAAGTAGCCAGGAAAATCCTGCATAAACTCAATGACTTTTGAAGTTGTATTGTCATAATGACACGTTTCTCTGAAATTTAGAAAAAACAAAAAGCAGGATGACAGCTATTGATTGAATACGAAAACAAGAATGTGTGTGTGTGTGTGTATTAAAAACACATTCATAGGGGTTGTGTACTTGTAGAGCCAGCTGATTTTGGAGTCATAAAAATAAACTTAATCCAGGATTAAAAAGAAACAGCAGGTGATATTTTCAGGTGACTGAGTGATTCCATTTTCTGGATTAATGTTGAGGGTTTGTTACTAGATTCATGTTGCAACAAAAAATACTACATCTCTTCTTAAACTTTTTAGAAGTCAAAAGAAAACTGGAAACTTACGTTCGATCTTCTTTTTGAGGCGAGGGCAGACAATTAACCAGACCACAATGGCAGTCAGTAGACCACAGGCCAATGAGATGAGCAGGATGCCCCACCAAGGGATTTTGTCAAATCCCAGCACTAGGGGATCACCAGGGTCCACGCAAAACGCACACAAAAAAAAGCAAATAGAGAAAGGACGATTTAAAAGACAAGGCAGCGGGTGCTACCTCACACAAAATCAGTCAATTCTAAATACAATTAAATTTTTAGAAAAACTGAAAAGGTGAAATCCATGAGCTCATAAGTATAATTTGGCAGCCATGACTGTGGTGCTAGAATGTGCCACATTTATAAAGAAATTATGTATGCGTCTGTGTGAGAGGTTATGCAACAGGTGAAACAGCCCAAAAGTTACCATGACCACCTCTATCCCCCACCATGCCAACAAACGAGGCAAAAGAGTTCCTTAAAACAAGACCAAAAAGGAGGAGGGATGTGGTCACTGTAGCCGTTTACTGTAAGGGAAATCTCTTGCCAAGACTGCAGCAAAGTTGGTGCAGTGGATGTTAATGCTGAAAAGAAGGATCTTATTTGAATTTCCCTTGGGGACTCTGTTGAAGTAGTCATCTTTGTTAGGCGGTGCAAGTCAGCATTAAAGTTGGGGAAAACAAAGGCAAGAACAGCTGAAAATTCCAATAATACTTCTGACGAGGTGACCTTGGCGGTGCATAACTGAAAGAACTTGTTTGGAACTGTTTGGCAATGTTAAAGGTAAACAAAAGGAAATGAGGGCTAAGGGTGAGCGATAAGTGTGTTTCCATGTTAATTTGAGGGCAGAGTCCACGGTGTACTCGTGCCTTTGAGTCATGCTGCAGCGCAGGACTGCAGAGCATCAAACCCAATGTTTAAATTGTGCAACAGCAGCTCACTCCCTTCAACAATATGAACATTTTCAAAAGTTGAGCTCTTGAATTACTGGAATATGCAGACTAATGCAGATAATGGTGTGGTTAGTTAAAAACCAGTACCCTACACTGATTAACACTCACAAGCCAGGGAGACTTGATCTCCAACTGTGTGGTGGAATAAAACTACACAGAAAATTGCAACTTCGAATAACCATATCTCTGGCTTTAAACATCAGATTCTGCACACTTAAAATAAATAAGCCATGATTGTCCCCTCTACATAAACCTACACTGGACTTTAACGGGTAGAAAATGCGCAGCCTGTTGCCGTACAGCAACAACTACACCAAGTCAATTAAGACGAATAGTTCTGTTGTTGGTCTTTTACATCCAAGTTACAAACCTTTACAGATAGTGGGAATGGGATTGTAAATCATTCTCAAGACAGATTTCTGATCCACGCTAAACCGAGCTGCAGCAGAGTGATTTATAAGGTGCAGAGAAAACACACCAGGCATCATCTGTTATGAACGAGACACTGAGCCTTAAATTCTCCAGTTCAAGCCACAATCTTTTGAGAGTGCCAGCTTAAGCTCTTGGGTCACTGCTGTTTATGTACTACTGTGTGGAGGAATGTGCTGTAGGATGCCTGGTGTCCAGTCACACCACTTTGCCAACACATTGATGTGATGAGCAGAGTCGTATTGCAGAACACACTGTACTCTATTGCGGACTCTGCTGCAGCTGCTGCATTAGAGCACATGGATCAGCAATAATAAGCTGTTGTCTCGTGCCCGAGTGGAACAGAATCCAAATATCTAAAATAACTAAAATGGCTGTGATCCACATAAAACTGATCTGTCATTTATACCTCTTGTCATCAGGGAAAGCTCATCCTGCAGGAGTAGTCGATGACTTTCCTATATGCTGATGTGTTTGTGTCTTTATCGCATACAGTTAAGGTTCTTAGTGTGCATGTTTGTTTCAGCTTGTTTAAATGTCTAAAGTGCAAGTTGACACCTTTATATATGAGGTACCCGTTTACTGGTCCTCATGTGCAGTGTTTTCCAAAGAGATGGGCTTCAAACAATTGTGTGTCTGACTAAGCAGGACTAAGGGCTACGCTGGAACTGCAAGTGATCTCCTCTGTCAGTGTGCTGATTTGCATGTACACAACAGCACACCCAATCAGGTGAAATTCTGGCCTGTAGCCACCATTTAAAGGCCCAGGCCAGCTAACATCTTGAACTTTTAGGCCCTGCAGAGAGAAGAAAACACAGGAGCGAAGGTGGCTCATTTAATAAAGCATTTCTGGATGATTAAAATAAACAAAACAAATAAAATGGCAAAAATTAAAATCTGAGCAGCTATGAAAAATCATCTATTACAGCCACTTTAACAACACCCTCTTTACTTCTCTTTTCCTTCTTCATGTCAGATGACAGTGATGCAAGAGTTAATTCTTTTTTTCCATCACTCTGTGGTGTTCCACTCTAAAACTTCATTCCAGCTTTAACCCACATAGAACCACAAGCAGGAGAGCCCAAAAACATGTTAAAATAAACACAGCTTCTGTGAAAACGGTAAACAGTCTGGTTCCATCTGGTATATGTGCGGGCATCCGGCTGTCTGAGGGAGCTGTTTATTCTAAGCTGTGGCTGCAGGCAGTCACGCAGAGAGAGAGAGAGAGAGAGAAAAAAAAAAGAAAAAAAAAAGAGATAATAATACTCACCCGGAGCACCAGTGAACATAATGGAGAACAGGTTGATTGCCATGGTTATAGCATAGAAGACAGGCAGGGCCTTCAATCCATTAGGAACAGGGTCTTTCTGCAGAAAAACAGTTTAGAAACACAAGTTTATCACAGAAAAGGAACTGATCATCAGGTTTCTGTGTATGGTGCCACATGGACACAATATTCTAGATTATGTGAAGGACAACTCTTTAGAATATAATAGTTTATTTAAAATGTGAACATTTCCTCAAAGAAAAAGATACACCGTCTTAGTATTTACCTTCTGGAGGATGAACACGCGCACAAAGTAGAAAACAATGCCTGACATTATTCCAGACAAAAGGGGACTCAAGAACCAGGAAGCAACTGAAAAATAAATGAAAAATGTGCAAATAAAGTTTTACTGAATCTGAGACTTTTTTTTAATGAACAGTAGTATCAACGTTGACCATTTGGAAGTAAAAAAAAAAAAAGGATTGTGTGTGAGGTAGTAGATCTAGACCAGGGGTGTCAAACTCATTTTAGCTCAGGGGCCACATTGAGGGAAATCTAGTCCCAAGCGGGCCGGACCGGTAAATAAATTAAAAAAAAAAAGCTTCAGATTGTATTCTTTGTTTTAATACAACCAATATAAAACAAGGCTGGAGCCTGAGGACAGTGTAGTACAAGTACAACACCTGAAGTGTACTTGAAAATTTGAAAAAATTTTTAAAAAATCAATAAATAAAAAAGACATTCCTTAGTGATTCAAAGAGGTTACAGATCACATGGCAAGATCAGTTTCATGCAGCACTTAAGTATATTTGACTCATTTTACTTTTCATCTTTTAGCTTTCACCAGAACATCAATATCAGAAGTCACATACTGAGTGACATGCTAACTTCAGGATGTGATTCAAGTTCTTGTGTGAGCCTTGAGCGCAGCTTTGTTTTATTTACACTCATTACAGAGAAAACTTGCTCACAAAGATAAGTTTATTTTCACTCTACATTGTAAAGTATGAAAATAAAGTTTACACAACCATCTCGCGGGCCGGATTTAACCCGCTTGTGGGCCGGATCCGGCCCGCGGGCCGCATATTTGACACCCCTGATCTAGACAAACAAATAAAAATATTTTTCTTACCAATACGGAGAAGTTCAATCCACTTGACTCCCTGTTGGCCCTTGGCAACCAGTGAGAAACCAATAGTAGCACCAACAATGCAGTGTGTCCCAGAGATGGGAAGCTTAAGAAAAGAGGCAGCCAGCTGCCACACAGCAGAGCCTATAGATAATACAATAAGGCAAAACTAATGAAGTATCCCAAACAAGATCTTATTTAAATAAATAAATTCAGATTTTGTAGGTTTTAGTTCTAATTTTTTTTTACACAAGATTAACTTACCGAACATGGCACTGACAGATCCAGCCATCAACACATGCTCAGTGCCGTTGTACATGCCCACATCGATGATACCCTTGCGGATGGTCTCGCTCACTTTGGCCCCAAGTAATACAGAGCCCAAGGTCTCGAACACAGTGGCCAAATAACATGCCTGTCGCAAAGTTACAACTCCAGAGCCAACAGCTGTGCCAAAGGAGTTGGCAACATCATTTGCTCCCACAGAAAAGGCCAAAATGAAGGCTATGATAAAGCCAACGATCAGCAGCCACATGTACTCTGTCAGAGCGGTGGTGGTTGCTACTCCTGCTGCTGTTGTGGCCAACAGGATTACAGTTGCAGTTGTCGAAACCATCATTGCAGATTATAAAGTAATTTCTTCACAATTTTAAGGGAAAGCAATGCCTGTCAACGTAACACTACTCTAAAACGGTAGCTAATAAAAAAAGAGGTAATGGGTCAAATAAATAACTTCTCTGTAGGCTCACCTGTTAACAGGCTTGATTCAGCAGTGCAAACTTGTAGAAAAAAAAGATGATCTGGGGCTGACCAGAAAACAGTAAACTGGAGGTACAGTAAAGGCCTACTGCTATCCTGAAATTATACTAGATCTTTTGCAGCTTTTTTGGTGCTTGGCCATCAAGCAGAGTGTGCAACCAGCCATTGTGCAACTGTGACTGCAGGTGAGCAGGAGTACATTCTGAAAAGAGAACAAAACACAAAAGCAACTTGCTAAATAACAGCTTCTCCAACTTTCATGTACGGAATGGTAAAAAAAACACTGACAAATAAAGTAGTCAACCTGATTAAAAACAGAACTAAAACGCAGTATTGGATCGCTGGACCGGAAGACGGATGTCTTATCTTTCCAGAGAAACAGAGAAGCCATTTTAAGGAAATGGCGCACGAAGAGATGCGCATTGACTCAAAAACGCAGACTTTTTTTTATTACATATTGTTTAACATATCGCTTTAGTATTACTCGGTTAGCGATGACCTCTATAAAAAGGTGAGTAAGATAACAGACGTTATCTAAAAAGAGATTCCTTTAACGTGTGCACGTGTCGTCATCCATTCATACGACACAGCCCTAAACACGAGCTGTCTATTTAGGGCGTCGGACAAATTCAAATCCAAGAACACACACACCAGCCGAGACTTTTCATTAATTCTACCGGTTTCATTTATTTGAAACAGGCAATATTTTATCTAAAGTGACGTTCAAATTGTGTTGGGCGTTGTTTTTAATCGTAAAATAGAACGTAACCGGATGTGACTTAGTAAGAGCTTTCCAACCGAGGCGGTACCTCTGAGCGGGTCGTCGTCTTCTCGACCCAGTTTTAATCTGCCAAGTGCGTACTAGACAGATGGTCAATACTGCTAATGTTAGCTAAGAAGACATAAAACTGTTTTTCCACACGGTGTTGACGTGGGCCCAATTGAACAGTACCGCTGCGTCCACTATAAGCAGCTGTAGACTGCCCTGTGTCAAGTAGAACATTAAACCTAAACTAAATGACTAAAAATCCGATTTTCTCAACAATCGGCCCACTTATAAAAGGTATCGAGTGCATTATAAGCAAACAATGCGCTGACATGTTAAGTGAGATTAGCCTTACGCTAACATCGAGCTCTTGTATGAGCCGTTATGTCCAGCGTTAAGATTGACAAAAACTACACCAAACTATGAAATTCTCACCGAGACAACAAGAGTATAAAACTTACCACACGTTACAGCAGCCAGTCCTTGAGGAAATAGTGCCTTTTAGCCAGTAAGCTAATTAGCGCGCGCGCGCAGATCGTAACGATAGCGCGCGCGGGATAATGAAAATTTGAAGATTATAAAATTTACCCTACAAAAGCTGCCTCGAGTTAAAAATGAAACGACTACGTGGGAACAAAAACAGCCTGTCTGATAATCAATCTACTCGAATATGGGTTAAAAAACGCCTCTAAAGTTCCAGAAACGTCTCCGACCGTTTGTATGAAGACTCATCGCATGTGTAGAACTTGCTCGTGCCGGTTTAGCCAGACAACGAGGGTTGTTTTTTTATTGGATACACCCTTCAGGAAGCTCCGCCCTCTACCTCCTCCCATGTTGTCGCCTCTTCACGTGATCAGCGCATGTACCCGACAGAAGCAGATTCCATTATTCTGGGGTTTCAAAACCCAAAGGCTTGAAACATTTGCCAGTGCAGAACAAGAGTCAGCTGGCGCAGTTTCATACCTACAAATGTAATTTGAGACTTTACTCATTGAGAATATTTGAAATAAACGTGTTAGGCATCAGACATAGCAGAAAAATAGTTCTGAATGGGAAGAAAAAATCATTTTTTTCCTGAATAATAAAATGGTAACAAATCAATGTGAAAACGTTGGAGATATATATGAACACAAAATAGTTCTGAATGGGAAGAAAAAATCATTTTTTTCCTGAATAATAAAATGGTAACAAATCAATGTGAAAACGTTGGAGATATATATGAACACAAAACAAGAGCCCTCAGTTTGCATGGGAAGGTGTCATGCAGGATAACAGGCACAACTACTCAATTGATGTTTGATGCTCCTTTTCCAATAAATCATTGTAGAAACTATATGTGCTTTTTGGATATTTTTTCAAATTAAGGGTTATGTCTTAACTGTTTCTCTCAATTGAGTAACTCAGTCTTAGACATAACTGTCTAGCTCTGAAAACCAATCATCATATCAGATTATTACTGTAATAAATTAAAGAAACATTAAATGTGGTGAAAATTTAGTCATGTATAAACACAATAGTATCCTTTTGAGTACATTTAGTAAAGATATAACTGATTACTAGCCTAGTGAACTAGACCAAATTGTTGCTTTGCAAAGTATATATTCACATATATAGTCTGGCTTGTCAGGCTAACTGATTACAGCTGTTTTCCTTTATCATTGCATTCCCAATTTGGGTGTTTTCCTGGATCTGACAGGAAAAGGAATCCCTATTGGCCAATAGTCCTGGTTCTGCCCTGAACAAGTTATTTCCAGATTTAATTTTCTGTGAAGTCATGTAGACTTGGAAATCAGGTTCAAATGTAAGACTTCTGACTTAGTCATTATGAAACGGTTTTTCATCTACAACTAAAACTAGAACACCACTCCCTGTTATTTTGTTGTTGTTGTTGTTGTTGTTGCCACACCCACTCCAAATGTCCCACAGGCTTCTATCAGTCTGCATGCAAAATCCCTCGCGCCACAATCACCTTTTTCCCACAGGAAATAATGATCCACCCAAACAAAGCAGGGGAAACAGCGCTTGTGATGTTATTTGCATCACAGAAGAGTTGTTACTCATTGAAGCTCATTCAGACGGAAGTGATAACAACATTCACTTTAACAAAAGTCATTTTCTGTGCTCGCAATCCTTTTGTGGTCAACAGACATGAGTCATGCTAAGTAAGGACTGTTAGGAATTTCAGTGGATTCTTCTAGTGCCATTATCTTTTCTTTGTTACACCTTTTAGGAATTATGGAAAATTTCCCTGGGTCATGTGATAATTGTCTACCATTGTTGTCCTAGCACTTGAACGCAGCAGAAGTAGGAGTGGTGTTTGCAAGTGAACTATTCAGCTTTTGGATCGCTGACAAAATGGTGTTTTCCAGAACTTGATCCCTTACCTTGAAATGTATAATTTACGTTTTCTTCAACCCCCACTTTACGCAAACCTAAGGTAGCAATTTAATGCTTTCTTCATCTTGTTTGCTCCTAAACCAACCAGAGTGTAAATAAATAAAAAGTGAATGGACCAGGACAAAGACCTTACTCTTTGGAAAGGACACATGAGATACAATCAGTCATGAGACTCAGTAAAGATGGTGTTTGCTTGCTTTTTCAAAAGGTAGTAACGTTTACTGTAGAGATAAAATAAACTGAGGTCGTTTGTTGATTTCAAGGTTGGTTTTAAAATGTAATCTTTTAGATACTAAAATCCATCAAATGAGGAGTAAACATGGGATCTTGAGAGAAAAAGTCTGAAGCCTAAAGTTGTTACCCCTCAAACTTGCTGGTAAAAAGGAGGTACTGAATTAAATTTGGACTTTTAAACTTTTATAAATTATTTTAGATACCTGGGATTATAGGACAAGGAGCAAAAAATCTTTCAATATAAAAAATAAATCCAGTTACTTGCCACGTCCTAGATGACGCATATTATACATCAGTATTGGTGAATTGGCACTGAAAAACATCGTGAATTTATTTTATACATGAATAGAATTGCACAGAATAGAAACTCCAGTTATTAAATTAACTAGTCTAATGAGCTTGAAAGAAAAACGTCCGTACTTCTTTGAGTTGCGTGAAGAAAGAAGTCCAGACGCTTTTCTTTCAAGCTCATTAGACTACAATGACCTGGATGACTGAGAACCTTCACAGACATTAAATTAACTAATTTTGTTTTAAAGAAAGAAAGAACACAATAAGGCAGCTGATTTCTTAGATCCAAAATCAGGTTTACAGGAAAAAATCAAACAGCCTAACTTTCAAATGCAGCCATTCGATTTTACTGTTTAATTTTTAACTTTCAAAGAAAGATAAAATAAACACAGACGTCTCTGATGTTCAGAACAATTCTGCTCAGTCAAACACCACCACCTGCTGAATAACAACAGTACTGCTACTGAATCTATCTATCTATCTATCTATCTATCTATCTATCTATCTATCTATCTATCTATCTATCTATCTATCTATCTATCTATCTATCTATCTATCTATCTATCTATCTATCTATCTATCTATCTATCTATCTATCTATCTATCTATCTATCTATCTATCCATCCATCCATCCATCCATCCATCCATCCATCCATCCATCCATCCATCCATCCATCCATCCATCCATCCATCCATGAAAATGTAAAAGTCTGGTGCAAATGTAAGTTTTATTTTGTGTTTTACTAGAAAGTTAATTTGTTTAATCTCTACAGCTGGTCAGAAAATTAAAATATTATGACAAAGTTAATCTATTTCAGTAATTCCATTTAAAAGTAAAACTTGTACATTAGATTAATTAATTGCACCAATATTTGAAATGTTTCTTAATTTTTTTGTTGATTATAGCTGACAGCTAATGAAAGTCCCACATTCAGTATCTCAGAATTAAAACCAATGCAAAAAAAATAGCCTACATTTTTAGAAATATTGACATATGTACGAACATAAAAAGTATGAGCATGTACAACACTCAATATTTAGTTGGGGCTCCTTTGGCCTGGATTACTACAGCAATGCGGCGTGGCATAGAGTCCAACAGACGGCACTGCTCGGGTGTTATGATAACATGTTGCTCTGATAGTGGAAATCTGAATTGTTGGGTCTGGCGTGTTGCATCTTCCTCTTCACAATACCTCATAAATTTTCTATGGAGTTAAGGTCAGATAGGCTTGCTGGCAAATCAAGAAGAGAGGTACCATAGTCCTTACATCAGGTACTGGTAGCTTTGGCACTGTGTGCAGGTGCCAAGTCCTTTAGGAAAATATGTGTCTCCACAAAAGTTGGTCAGCAGCAGGAAGCATGAAGTGCTCTACAACTTCCTGGTAGACGGCTGCGTTGACCTTGAACCTCAGGAAAAACAATGGACCAACACCAGCAGATGACATGGCACCCCAAACATGGGCGTCGCACCCGTGGGGGATGTGGGGGATTCAACACCCACACTTTTCCAGCCGTTTTGCTCACCTCCACACCAGTCTGGTTTCTCTATGTCACATTCACTCTGTTTGCCTCATCTCCTTATTCCCCTCCCTCTGCTGTTTCTCCTTGAAACCCGTGTCGGGTTTCAAGGAGAAACAGATGAGGGAGGGAGGGAGGGAAGAGCTCGACTGAATTCATAATTTTACATCTTGACATTAGCTGTACAAGCTCTGAGTTTGATAAAGTGAAGAACAACAATTTGCAGAGGTTTATAACAGGCGCGGCGCCAGGTTTTCATTTTTGGGTGGGCCACGGTAATTTTGGACGGACCTTAATAAGCAGTGACTTAAGTGAAGCAGACAAGTCGCGCTAGAAATTTTCGTTTAAAAAGATGTCATAAATTTTTCCCCTGTCATTTTTATTTCTAAAATATGAAGTAAAAACTCCCAATTTAATTTTCATTCATTTTTCATTTATAGGCACCAGAATGCATTACCTGCACTTCTAATATTTACCTCTCAACGTAGGACTCTTTCATAAGGGTACATGCACACCAGTAGTTTTTACGGTTATTCATGAAAAAAAAAGCATCCAGCCCACCTCTCCAAATGCATAAAATGTGCATCACAGCCGCTAGGCGCGCCGCGCGCACCATCAGCTACCTCAGCCCAGACAACAGCAGAGCAAATGTTACAATTAAACAGTTTTACTTCATGTAGGCTAGGAACATTCCACCTGCCGTGGCCCGACCGCTTCTGCTCCACATAAACTTTGTGCGTGATCAAATGTCTCTACAGGTGCTTTCTGAGCTGAAGAGGCTATTCTGCCTCAGACTGGATGCGTCATGCGTCTCCATATTTGAGATGGGAACAAGCGCTATTCAGCCAAAGTTTCATAATCAGAACATTTTTCCAAGTGACACATCCCTCAGAGAGACCGGGTTTCCAGACCGCTTCAGTGGGAAGAATGCGCTGTAGTTCTGCGCTGCGCTGTGAACCCCTCTACAGATCTTCAGCACACTGTCCACCGTGGGCGCTCCGAGCCGCGCTGAGCACAGTGTCCAGTATAAAGCTCTGATGTTCTGATGGGAATCATTTCTTGATTGATTTAGTTACCTCCGCGATGTGCGTAACGATTAAAATGTCAGCTCATCTGTGTGCGCATCAATGTGCGTCGGGGTAATTCTTTTAAAACAACCAACATCCTTGAGTTTATCCGTCAAAATAAACAGTCAAATGGAAATATCTGTAACCTGCCATTTAACTGTTTTGCCTTCTTGTGAAGATTGTTGCAAAGAGAAACAACTAAACTTGATTAACCCCAGAGCCACGCGCACTGCGCTGTACTTCATGACTGTAAATGAGAGGGAAACT